CTGCTTATCAGTCAAGTTGTATAGTGTTACCAAGCGTATCTTCATCTTCAAGCGCATACATCTACATATTCACGTATGTAAAGCTAAGAGAATAATTTCGTCAAAAAGAAAAAAAACGGTTTCTTCGTTGTAATCGTCTAGTATAGTCTCCTATGAGATCAAATGGGCTGGTTTCGATAAATATCTATATCACACAATCAATGTGACCGATTTTAATGTTTCAAACTATAAAGATTCATAATTGAAAGGATAAGTTTTTAGACTATGAAATCATTACCAAAATGAGAGCAATTCAGTTGATATCAACAGGCATCGGTGTAGATTTATTGATTACTATGGAGTATTCATCAAGTGAATGTAGAGAAAACGGAGGTGATGAATGCATCCGACCAACAACAAGAGGCACCAATCACTATGAACGGGAGAAACCTAAAGGAAGTAGCCTCTTTCACCTACGTGATCAGGAAGCATCGTTTCAACTACAGGCGGTGGTGGCACAGAAGAGGATGTCAAAACCAGCCAGGATAGGAAAGACAGCAAGACAGGTTTTCACTAATCTGAAATCAGTGTGGAGATCTACTCCACTCAGCACAAAGTGTGAACATGATCCGAATTTTTAACATCAATGTCAAGTCAATGCTTTTATGTAATGGTTGAGAGACTTGGCACTTCCAACAAACTACAGATATTCATCAACCGCTGCCGCCTACACTGGCTCGTTACTGAAGATCAGATGGCCAGAATAATAAGAATATGCAACAAGGAACTCCGGGAACGAACCAACCAACAAATATACTGAAGCAGAAAGTGGAGATGGATTGGATTGGGCACACACTGAAAATACCATTTGTGGACATCATATGACAGGCCAGAGCCTGGAGTGGAACCCGAAGGGGAAACGACGAGTTGGGCGTCTCAGCTGAGGGTGATATGGAGGAGATGGTGTGAGGAAGAAATGAAAGCTTGTGGGTAGTCGTGGCGCTAGGCTTTGAAGAGTGCAGAGAAGAGAGTGGAATGGAGGCGTGCTACTGAAGCCGTATGTTTCACCAGCAACCCAAGGGAACAATAATAATAATAATAATATTCATCAACAAGTGGAGTATTAGCTCACTAGTTTAGGGAGATGATTTTTAACCAATAGGTGATGGGTGTGAGCCCCGTTCCACCTAATGACGTTTAGACAGGCAGTTAGTATCAAAAAGTGTGACTCATTGTCTACTACATGAATGTGTGCACAAGGTTGTTGATTGTATTTTGATTCATCAATAACAAGCATCAAATAATGAAGAAGACCTTGTGGACTATAAAGAAGACAGTAGAGAAAAGAAATGAATTCTCTTCTCGAAAATATTATTTACTCAAATTATCAAGTTGTATTTATATCAATGAAAACAGACAACAGTCTATTATAGAATAGGTAACATAACATAACAATAAAAGGATAGAACAAAAATATACATGTACACATACGGAAGCGACTAATTAAGAACCTGTAAGATGATGAATGAAAAGCAGAGAATTTAACAAGATGTAGATTGCTTCTAGATATGAAGTACCTAAAAATTCAAGTGTCCAGTTGACAAGTGAAAAGAAATGATAATATTGAGATAATTACTAATAGCTTGTTCATCAAAACCTTAAAGATAAGGTAGCGTTATCGAGAACATTTATGTATACATATAAAATGAACTTGCTTCTGTAAAGTTAAGTACATAGACCATATCATCAAGACACTGTCAAGATGTATTCATGAATATTTACCAGCATGGTTATCAAAAACAGAATCAATTCACATAGCTTTTAACAAATTAGTCATGAGATTGAACCCAACTCCATCTTATCGAGGTTTAAGAAGCCAGACAGAATCTGTAACTCTTATACAGTAGGTATGGTTCGTTGCTTAACTGCACAAAGTTGTTTAGAGGACTTCTTCACATTATCTGTACATGACGTATTCAATGTTTCATACACAAGATGAGACTAAGCTGTTTGAAACGATTTCGACTACATTTTGTTAAAACAATAAAAGTCACTAACTGGTTCACAAAGCATATTCTGAACTATGTCGTACATTAAGAGTTTTGCTACCATGGCATTAGTGTTTCACAACTCTTTGATTTTTGAATTTTGAGGGAGTTGTGGAGATTTGGAAATATTTCAAGTTGTTATTCATCGTAGACTGACATCAGATGGAGGAGCAAAGGAAACCTGGGAGCACTGGACAGCCGTTTCGTCCTAGTATGGGACTCAGCAGTGCGCACCCACGATCTCACCAGGGATCGAACCCGCGACCTTCAGGTTTCGCGGCCAGCGCTTTCGCTATATCGTGAGCTAGCAGAAGTTGGAAATATGGAGCACTGTATTCTGATCCGGTGGCTCAATGGTAACGCGCTGAGGAGTCCCATACTAGGACGAAACAGCTGTCCAGTGCTCCCAGGTTTCCTTTGCTCCTCCAACTGATGTCAGTCTACAATGAATAACAACTTGAAATATTTCCGAATCTCCACAACTCCCTCAAAATTCAATTGAACTGGTGCTCATTGGTGACTAGCTTCGAGAAGTATTCCCGAAGTTCCAGTGAGAAGTCGTGACCGGTGGAGTCAAAGCCTGATGGTCGTGAGGACAGTTACTCAACGATTACATTGGGTGGCGGTTGCGCTATATCGTCAGCTAACGGAAGTCGGAAATATGGACCATTGGATTCTGACCCAGTGGCTCAATGGTAACGCGCTGGCCGCGGAATCTGAAGGTCGCGGGTTCGATCTTTGATTTTTGTTGAATACTTTCCAATCAAATCTATCCACATACTTCTTTTATTACAGTTAAGGTTTATCGCGCTCTTCTTTGTAATATTCCTCTCCCTTTACTTCATCTTAGTGGGGAAGAAAACAAGCACTTCTCAGTGGCATTCATTAATCTAATGATGCATGCTTTTGTTACGTAAAGTCGCCTTGCTATCACCTACCATTATGCTACTTTTTGTCCTCTGAATCACAAATCAATATGTTTCGATTAGTAACTGATTTTGACCTTTGACCCATGTTAACACTATTTATGATATGTCTAAACGATTACATCAGTTATGATAAAAGGTTACAATTTCTTTCTAATGAAAATGTAATATATATATATATATATATATATATAATTAATAAAAAAGGGATTAGAAGGAGTATGATAAATAACTTTAAAGGCATTATGAATATTGACTCGGTGACCAGTGTCAATTAGATGAGAGAGTATTAAGCTTCGTATCAATCTGGTTTGCCCTTTTACTTAGCCATGAAGGATGATCCTCGGTGATTCGACGAAAACTTGCCTAAATGTACGTACAATGTAACTAGCTCCACAGAAGCAATTGAACTGGTAAATGCACATAGAAGAGGCGAAGTCAACTAGTCTATTTTTGAGTCATGTGGTCATCATTGACTGACTGTAAAATATACAACATAACTTCGCCGTAAAAATGATCTTTCAATGAAGAACTTAAAATTATCCATGATCTAGTCAGTAGTGATGGATATTCGGAGAAGTTTCTACCTAAAATATGGACACATCCAATATGAAAACTAGAGTATCAACAGTACTCCAAGAGACTGTTGTTTCTAAGACTGCAATTTAGAGGTGACATCATCAGCGGAATTGTGACGCAGCACCTAAGTAATGCTGTAAGACGATCACTTAACGCAGCAAAGTTATGTTGTGTATTCAGCCGATGATGATTACGTGAATCAAAGACAGACTAGCTGACTTAGCCTCTTCCTATGTGCATTTACCAGTTCAACCGCTCCTGTGAAGCTAGTTACATTGGACATATAGTTAGGCAAGTCCGTCGTCCAATCGCCGAGCATCATCCTTCATAGGTTAAGATGACGGCACAACTACAGACTGTCTACAAAGATCAGGCTTGATTTAGTGGATCACCAATACCTCGGATGTACATAAAGTGTGGAATCGCGCTCTGTTCAAACTTTGTGATTTAGCTTTTCAGACAATCGTAAAAGATGACTCTAGTGGAGCTGTGTGACTAGAAGTAACCAAATTTTAAAGTAGAGAACTGCTTGTTGACGTGTACTGACGGCTTGACAACCAAGCATGATAATGCTATGAAATGTGTTTAGAAAGAGTATACTTTGTACAAGCAATGGGATTAGCTGCACATATAAATATAAATATGGCTGAACAGCTTTATTTATGAAGCTAATGTCATCGTAAAGGAAATTTCTCTTATAATTTACTGAGATCAGTTGAAGAATCACTGAAAACCTCGGTACGATGAACAGCTATTGCAATATCTCATTGAGGTGTGGTTGTGCGATGCTGAGTAGCTTCAGACCAAGATGAGATACTCGTCAAGTGCCCTCTATTCTTCAGCCGTTCTTCAGTAGGTCTCGACCTTTGATGAAAACTACTTTGAGTTAGTCCTTGATGTTATAGACTGTGTATCACCGTGGTTGATTGGACCGAATTGATCGGGTGCTATTGGCATATGGGGTCCTGCACTCTATCCTATTTAGAGCTCATCAGTTAGGTGTGCGTGCCTTTCGATGAGTAATGTTGTTCCCACTAAGATTCGAGCCCATGACCGACCGCTTCAAACGCCAGAGCGTTATCCACTAAGCCACTGAGTTATGGTAATCACTTCTTGTGCGACGGGTAATAGTATAATCAGAACGTGTGTTCAGGGTTCCACTTCTAACCACTTTCCATCAATGATATCAAAGTTGATGAGTTAGTTTGAACAACTATACGTCCATGATTAAGTAAGCAATATCATGAAGTTGATAGTATCTTCCTCTTGACGGTATATTCAGCCAGATTTCAAGCAAACAGCTTTAATGATAGTCTAGAGAAAATTAGTCATGTGAAAATCGATTTCACCACGGTACACCTCAAATATGAATTTGGAGATATTCCCACATTTGATGCTTAAGAGTTTCTGATTATGGATTAGAATGTCAGTTGTATACTTATTGCATATAAGTACAGACGATATACTCTCACATCCTAACGAATGAACATGAAGGTGACTACAAATAAAAGTTAATTTTTATTAAAAAATAATAAAGAAACATGCCTCATTTGGATGAAATGCACAACATGTAGGTGTGCCAAATTGTTCTCGACTCAGGTGACCATAATGTTTGATTGAAGAGTGTAAACTTCCATCTTGAATACGATGCAGGGAAATGCTTGACTGACCTCGAATACCAGCTAATGTAAGATGTGCATGCGGAGATGATAGATTGACCTGATTTAAAATATCAAAGAAAGGTAGAGAAAGAGAGGAGGACTATCACATTACTGGTTCCAAATGAAATCAGACAATTAAGTAATGAGCAAATATATGACTGAGTAGTTTCTACAGTTTCTAACTTCAAGGTGATCTTTACAGATGGAAAATCATAGAAAACTAAGAAACACCAGATAGCTGTTGTTTTTATCTCATTGGATGTGTTCTTTGAGGACATAGTATTTCAGCAGAAATCAATACAACTATTACATCATAATTAATCAAGAGAACCATTATAGACAACATCCAAGAAGTACCAATCCAGCTGCCAAAGTGTAACAACACTAAGTTCAGTGATAATATGATCCATCACAGCAAAGATTGATAATCACTTTGCCAGAGAGTCTCTAAAGAGGCTGATTAATGTTAAATCACTACTTGTTAAGGCTCCTATTAAGATGCTATTAATTATTTATGAGTCCCTTGGGTTCCTAATGGAACATAGGGCTTCACTAGCACGTCTCCATTCCACTCTCTTCTCGACAATCTTTTCAACCTGGCTACACGACTGCCCACAACCTCTCATTTCCTCCTCGCACCATCTCCTCTATGTCATCCTCACCTCAGACGCCCAACTCGTCACTTCCCATCTGGGTTCCACTCGAGTGCCTGGCCTGATGCGTGATGTCCCCAGTCGGCCTTCTCAGTGTATGCCCAATCCATCTTCCACTTCATTCTGCATATTCATTCAGCGATAGCTTCTTGGTTGGTTGGTTCTAAGAGCTCCTTGTTGCTTATTCTTTCTGGCCATCTGATCTTTAGTAATGAGCGTAAGCAGTTGTTGATGGATATCATAGTTTGTTGGGAATGCTTTTCGCAACGCGACAAGTCTTTCAACCATCACACAGAAGCACTGACTTGACTGACGTTGGTGTTGGTGTTGAAAATCCGGATCTTGTTCACGCTTTATGCCGAGTGCAGAAGATCTCCACACTGGTTTCAGGCTAATGAACACCTATTTTGCTTTTCCGATTCTGACTTTAACATCCTCGTCTGTGCCGCCTGTAGTTGAAACAGTGCTGCCTAGATAGGTGAAAGAGGCTACTTCCTTTAAGTTTCTCCCGTTCATGGTGATTGGAGCTTGTTGTTGTTGGTGGTGGTGGTGTTGGTTGGGTATCATTAAAGGAGGTTTCCTAATGAACAATCGTAGTTCATAATATGTAGAAATAAACTATTTAATACATATTATAATATACTCGACCATCTAAACCGACTGACTAATAAGGAAACAATAAAGTTTCTAACATTCACTCTGTAGAAAAATCGAGTAAATTGTGATATCATCTGTTACTTGATGGCCATCTTTTTAAGAACAGCTTAAAAAAAGAAGCCAAAATTTTTCTAATTTCTTCAGAGAAAGAGTCAATAAAACTTCAAGGATTAATGCAGTGCTTCTGACCATCTTCAACGTCCTTCCAACATAAAGAAACAATTATTAGTGAATATTACTTATCTAAATTATTGGTGGTTGAGAATACACAAAAAGTGTGTTCATTTAGTTCAGTTTCTGTAGGTTCGCAATATCATCCACTGACTTACTTTACATCTAATCTAAGCACTGTTTACAATGTTTTCTCATGGAAGGAAAACAATGATTTGAAGAAAATCATAATCGAAAAAACTGTACCCTTTTTCATGTCTATGAACTTAAGGGATAAATATTATACACAAATGGATTGCTATACAGAGGACGTTTATAGAGTACACTACTACAGACAATTGGATATCTCATCGCAGCAAGAGATGGTGTAGATATAAGAGTAAAACTTGGGCAGTGTGCTAAAATGCAATTCCATTTTAGTTGATTTGTTAGGTGTACCATATAGTGAAGTAGTTTTATGAACTAGATTTCAGTTTGGACACAATTTATTCGCTATAAGCAACTGAATTATTGAGGTGGCTTTGGCATGTGTTGTGCATGCCGATCCCCCCACCTATCTCAACGTGTGATGCTAGTGGAAGTGGATAACGTTTGAAGAAGATTTAGAGAGGTCAGATCAAGACATGACATCAGTCGATGAAGACTTTTGATGTTAGTCTGAGTCGTGTAGACTATTATTATTATTATTAGTCCCTTGGGTTCCTAGTGGAACATAGGGCTTCACTAGCACGCCTCCAGTGACCTCTGTTCTCTGAGATCTTTTGAACCTGGTCCCACGACAGTCCACAAGCTCTCATTTCCTCCTCGCACGACCTCTTCCATGTCACCCTCGGACGTCCAACTCGTCGCTTCCCATGGGGATTCCACTCGAGCAACTGGCCTGACGCGTGATGTCCTCAGTCGGCCTTCTCAGTGCATGCCCAATCCATCTCCACTTCCTCCTGCATATTTGTTGCGTGATAGGTTCTTGGTTGGTTCGTTCCCAGAGTTCCTTGTTGCTTATTCTCGTTATTCTGGCCATCTGATCTTCAGTAGCGAGCGTAAGCAGTTGTTGATGAATGTCTGTAGTTTATTGGAAATCCCTTTCGTGACGCGCCAAGTCTCTGAACCATACAAGAGCACTGACTTGACGTTGGTGTTGAAAATCCGTGTCTTGTTCCGCATGCTGAGTGCAGAAGATCTCCACACTGGTTTCAGGCTAATGAACGCCTGTCTTGCTTTTCCGATTCTGACTTTGACGTCCTCGTCCGTCCCGCCTGTAGTTGAAACAGTGCTTCCTAGATAAGTGAAGGAGGTTACTCCTTCGTGTAGACTAGGTGTTGACTATCTGGGTGCGGTTCATAGGGCGGAAAAAAAATCAGTGATTGAGGACTCTAGGTGACATGGTTGGAAGTCAGTCACAATGGTGCAGATGTATCCATTCTTTTGTCTTTAGATTATTTATTCTCTGAAACAACTTTTTCTACCTTGATATCATCCTTTTACTATCCATTTGTTCTTTATATACTTCTGTGAAGTGTGATAACTTGAACCGATGAACTTATGTGCGAAGTTCTACATTGATTCTACCTGTATGTATTATTGATAGTCAAATCAAGATAGATCTACAACTTTGAGACATGGTTTGTATAGTTCAAAAGAAGGCAAGAGAATTAGAACTTTATAAACCATGTGTATAGTCAACTTGATGTGACTATGCACAATAAATTGTATCCGAAACGTAATCCAGTAAATAAAACCATTCGATTGTCTGATGCATCTAGTAAATTGATTAAAATGGTAGAGATGGTGTAGATTGACAAAAATCAGGTTCTTATCAGACACTAACTCATAAGAATTGATAGAACTTCGTGAATAAATACATCCCATCTAGGTGTATAGTTCCCTGATGATTGACATAAACCATTTACACTGAGATGGTGAGTTCCTTAGACAGGTGACCTTACAGTAAACTTGATCAAGAGAGGATGGTCAGCTGAAAAGACTAAACAAAATGGCGTTAGTTACTTGTCATTGGAAAGTAATTAACCAATTCATTTCCCAATTTCATGCAGATTGAATCTGCACCATTAATAGTACCATTTAAAATACATATCAACAACTTGAATAGAGTTATGTTTAGGATCTGATCTAGGCACCTGTCTCATAAAAATGAAGTTGAAAAACAATGCGTGTAGTTTTAACTATTGAAACAGAGTGTCACTAGCGTCTAAATACAACATATAATTTATAATCGAGGTTGCACTATACCATGAACTGACAGAAGTAAGAAACAGACCACTGAATGTCCAGGGTTCGATACCCGGTGGAGTCGTGGTTGCATACTGCTCACGAGTTCCATACTACAACGAAACAGTTCTCTAGTTCTCCAACTGATGTCAGTCTATGGTAAATACCAACCTGAAATCAATACATAAATCTTAACAAACCTCCAAATTAAACCAATAAATAAGTAAGTAAATCATTATTAACAACAATATAAAACTTACAAGTAAATCAGCGCAATTAACTGATGAATTCATTGGTAGAGATAAACGTGGTGGACAAGGAAGTCGTCGAAATCGTCGAGTTGTACTACTACTACTACTACTACTAGCATTGTCATTATGAATACCATTGGTAGAACTTAATGATGATCTAACCGCTGTTGATATACATCTACGTGGATGATGTGAAAAACTGTTACGACCATTATTAATACAGGTACCAGAAGTAGAAGTATTGCAAGTGCTACCACTACCAGTTGGTGAAGATAACTGCCATGCTCCAATCCCACCCATAGCACCAACAGCATATAATCGATTCAGAGGTGAGAAAATCACCTTATATATTCGATCTGAATCTGCCTGACTATTGAAGACAAGACTGGTTTGTAAAAACAAAAAAGGAATTAAAAGAAGGAAACAAGAATAACAGGGACTAAGACACTGATAGGTAATTATCAAGATCATATAAACCGGTAACTGGAAAGTGTAAACAACATCAGGTTATATGTAGATCCTAGAAGTGACCATCTTCTATGGACCTAGTTTGCAATATGGTCACTAAAATAGAAGACTCTATATCGATCTTTTATGGCTGATAGAAATCAACAAGATCTATACCTAGTTTTTGTATTCCTTGGTACTCATCAGTAAGGTTTACCTGCATAATCCATGGGACTGATGCCCCTTTCACATATCTGAATCTACATCAATCAGTATTGAGGTCAGAAGAACTCATTGATATTGTATCTGAGCCCTCTCTAACAGACTACAATAAGACAATAACCTCAACGAATAACTCGAAACCGCACTAAATTCATACTTAACCAATGCCCCAAAATATGAGCTGGAACATTGACATCCTAATTTTTATATTGCTGTTACTCTATTCCCATAAAGATTTTACTGTTCTTTTTTGTCATTTTTACCTTTCGCTTCGTTTTTATTTCATTCTACTGCTCACCATTTCCCGAAACTCTAGTCTGTCTGTATCATTTTGAGTTGTTACACAGTTACATGCATTCCCTAACTACTCAATTTGCAAGGTTTTCTCAGGTTTGCTATTCACTAGCTTCATAAAGACATTTAATAATCATCGAATCCCGAATATTGGATATTATATTCCCCTGTGGTTATCATGAGTAAATTTCTGATCCTTCGGTACTAGCCCATCTGGCCATGCTACCCTTCCTCGCTTCAGATTATCTACAACCTCTTCAACTTCTAAAAGAGTTGAAGCATCGATGTCAATGTTCCATTCAGCATCCGACTAGATAAAAGACAACGGATTAGTAGATGGAGGTCAGTTGAAATGTTCCTTGAAGTGTTTTGCCTTGTTATCTCCTCTGTCAGTAAATCTTAGACTCATACTTCTGCGTTATAGTCTCACTAAACACTCACTTTTTTGCCCCATTTTTATCGAGAAGTTAAAATTAACTCTGCTGATATTAATCAGTGCGCTTTTCCCATCTCCTTAGGCCTTCGCCACCCATTATTGCTCATGGTCATTGTGAACATATTTTATCAGCTTACATTTCTGTTGTGATGCCACCAGTTTTGTATAAAACATTGTCGTTGATCTGATCATTTTAACGTGTCATTCCCATACCATTTTTTACGGTATGACTACTAGTCTGTTTTTCTGCCCACATTGTAATGTAATTCGCTGATTGGTTATTCTTTACTCTTAATATGCCAATGTCTTAAATTGGGGACAAGGCCGTTTATTATGTGTGTACATATTCACGTGTTTTGGGATTGATCGATTATCATAGTCTCGGAGAAATGAACTCTCCCATCATCCAGCTTCGGTCTTCTCTCTATTTTTCCCGGGGTCACATTCAGTGGGTCTTGCGTACTAAGTTAGCTGTCAGTTAAGCCTGAGTATTTTATTCGTTCCGAAAATGTATAACCGTTGGCATACGAAAATGTAACAATTTTAGTTACCTCTTATACAACCGATGAACAAAAACGGATTTAACAGAAGCGTGAGTATCGGACACCACTAAAAACATTACAATAAATAAACGACTTATATTCATGTTGGTGACCGGCAGAGGAATCCAGGATGCGCGTCTTGTCCTATTTGGGTCTCGTCAGCTGGATGTACCTGCACCGCAGTGAGTGGTGTTGTCCCCATTGAGACTCGAACTCGGTATCCAACGCTTCAAACACCAAAGTGCTATCCACTAATCCACTGGGGCACGATAGCCACCTCTTGTGTAACGGGAAATTACGAGTACCACAACACCATTAACGGGAGAAACATAAAGGAAGTAATCTCCTTCACCTATCTAGGAAGCACTGTTTCAACTACAGGCAGCATAGACACAGACGAGGATGTCAAAGTCAGAATCGGAAAGACAAGACAGGCATTCATAAGCCTGAAACCAGTGTGGAGATCTACTCCACTCCACTCCACTCAGCATGTGGAACAACATCCGGATTTTCAACACCAACGTCAAATCAGTGCTTCTGTATGGCTCAGGGACTTGGTGCGCTACGAAAGGGATTTCCAACAAACTGCAGACATTCATCGACAGCTGCCTACGCTAGTTCGATACTGAAGATCAGATGGCCAGAAAGAATAAGCAACAAGGAACTCCGGCAACGAAACAACCAAGAACCTATCACTCAACAAATATACAGAAGGAAGTGGAGATAGATTAGGCATGCACTGAGAAGGCCGACTGGGGACATCACGCGAGTGGAACCCAGATAGGAAGCGACCAGTTGGGCGTCTGAAGTGAGGGTGACATGGAGGAGGTCGTGCGAGGAGGAAATGAGAGCTTGTGGGCTATCGTAGAGCTAGTTTCAAAAGATTTCAGATAACAGAGCGCATTGGAGACGTGTTACTGAAGCCCTATGTTCCTTTAGGAACCCAAGGAACAAATAATGATAATAATACAAAAATAAACGATGTAATCGTGTCTAGTCGAAATCAGTATATTACACAAATATTCAACAGCATGGGGAGTTGTCATTCCGTATCAAAGATAAATACAAAATATTGTTCCCTTCAAAGCTGAAACCTCAAAAAGAATTAGAAGTAGGATTAGAGGATCTACGTTGTACAGAGGTAACACAATAGATAATGTCCCAGTTTATGATGATATCGACCTCATTACTGAAGTAACCACTATGAAATATTATCATAGATAAGTAAGGATCAGCAATAAGAATGACATTCCAAATAGCAAAGTAATCTACTGCTTACTTATCATTATTATGAACAGATGGTAAACGTAAATCCCAGACACGTATACCTCCATCATTGAACCCAGCTGCAAGTAAATTATTATCTTCACTCTGTGTAAGACATGTTACAGAGGTGTCTGCACCAGTATTTAAATCTCTCAATCTTGATTCACAATTACAATCCCATATACGAATTGTTCGGGTATCACCTGAGACAGACAATTGATTCGCTTGTTGATTCCAATGTACAACAACACCAATTGGATAATCAGTTTGATATAAATCTGTAATACCGATCCTTTATATAAATGAAAAAAGGAAAGAAACAAACTGTAAGCGAATATTTTTTCCATAAATAAAAATCTTTGTCAGTAAACATTTCGATATCAAAGAATGCATTGTCATCAGAAGTCCTTAGGGAACAAAGTACCAATATTCAGGAGATGGTGTTGTAGTTCAGTAGTTTAAGTATCCCAACTGACCAATCAGGTGATTCGGTGAGAGTAGCTTATAAATTTAATGTATACAAATTTACATAACAGTTAAACAGCATTATTGAGAACATATTTTCATAACATTTTTTTCCCCTCTCATTCTAACAGTCATCACTTCCCATCAAATTCAAGCGAGTCACAATATAGACCATTCATCAATGAACGTAATTAGCTGATAAGCTTTCTGACTATTATTAATTAACTCATTTGATGGTTTCATAACTTTTCATGATAACTTCAGGAAATTTATCTCATTAGAAGTCAGTCTTCTATAAACAGAGAACTACTTACTTTTATACTAAATGATTTATACGAAAACAGTTATTTTAATTGAAGGTGAAAATGTTTACCACTGGATTTAGACGTCTTAGGTTCGAAAGTACTGTACACCAGAGAAGTTTCACTCTAATGAATTCCCTAGCAGAGAGTTCAAGATACAGCTAACTTAATACTAAAAAAATGTGATATATCATTAAACACATATTAAGCTAACAAGAATTTTCAAATCAAGTTATCCTGTGGAATGATACTTTGTTGGAGGATGTATTCAACAAATACTAGTCAGGTATGTAGTAGACGAAACTATTATTTGACCAATTGTTAACAAATACAAGTGAATGTATATTAGATTCGGTTCAATTTGAAAAGAAAAACTTACCAAGCAGTAAGTATTTCTGGATCCTGTCCAAGATTATGCGTATAGTTACGCCATACACGTATATATCCATCGTCTGAAGCTGTTAAAAGTAAACTTTGCTCTTCAGCCGCATTGATAAACTCCACATCGGTAACACAAGCAACACGTGGGTACCTGATGATACAGGGTAAGGGTAATAAAGATTGTAAAAATAAGTCGATGCTGCTGATGTTGAAGTGCAGTGAACAACTGAACAAAGGATACATTATTAATTTTTAATTTGATTTATGACACTTGCTGGTGTACAAGAATACTCTGAATAAAGTTTCAGTGTGATCATAAGATAAATTAAATAGTGACATAAGACCATCAACAGTTTGGAAGTGCAAAGGGGTGGTTGTGAACTTTCTGGTTTACAAGGTTCTACAGGATCCGTACAGATAAAAGACAGGAGATATTATGGAACATGACTGAAAAGAAAGACTATCTAAATGGGACAGTTGGAACTCGCTATATTTCTCGCTTTAAACATTGAACACACTAATCAGCCTAGTTTTGCATTTTATCACATCTTTCCATTTGCTACAACTTTTCTTTCGGTTTTAAAACTGTCATAAACCGAAGTGATTCAAGTGTAGGCATTAATTATACTCAACTTAGTTATAGACGTACTAATGAAAATAACATTAGGTACGTTTAACTACACAGGGATTGACCAACTATCTGAAGGTCATCTGGTTCACTCAAGGTATGCAAACGATATTGTGGTGCTGAGAGAAGACATTGACAGAATCCAGGGTCTTCTGAACCCGTTGAAAAGAAAGTTGAGTATGTTCGGCTTGGGTTTTGCTGGCACCTACCAAGTGTAAGATGATGCTTCAGGACTTGTTTGCTGCAAATACTCTCAGTTTATTGATAAGAAGTGAAGTGGTAGAATATGTTGACCATTTCACTTACTTAAGAGGATGAATCAGCTCGAACGGGCTGATTGTTCACTAAATGTTAGCTCAGATACAGAAGACCCTTTTGGCATTTGTTGACTTGAGTCACCTATTGCACCGGTAAGATATCCGACTATCTATCTATCAAAGTACGTGTATACTCCGCTGCAGTTCGTTGTGTCCTGTAATACGGCTGAGGCGGCCGTTAAAAGTAGAAGACATGAAGTGATTACTAGGTTTTGACCACGAATGTCTTCGTAGCATTTATCACGTTTGGTGGAATAACTGTGAGCAATGTTGAAGTCAGGAGAAGGGTGATAGGCAGCACAGGCAAATCAACTGATGAGGTTGTAAACCTTAGTCGACTGAGATGGTTTACACATGAACTGCGCATGCCAAGCCATCAACTACCTCTATGTACCATGTTAGAAGTTGGATTAGTTTGGAAGAGGGTTCACAGTGGCAAGACTAAGACATGGGTATCGGTTTATGAAGTCCGTGACTAAGCCATGTTGGGAGATGTAGGCCATCTAGCTGTGGTTGCCGAGACGATCGGAATCAGCCGTTGAGGACTCTTGGTGACATGGTTGGAAATAGCGCAAATATATTCACTCCTTGAATTCTAAAGCTTTAATATTCGCACTAACCCTTATCTATGACTAAAGAATAGCATGGAAGTAAGAATATTGTCATTTGAAACACAGAAAGAAATTGTCATTGAGATGAAGTTTGCTTAGCAGCGACCAGAAGTGGAATTTGGAATGCATGTTTTCGTCCGACTCAAAATTCATCAGCTAAATGTACCTCGTTTCAGTGAGCAATGTCGTTCCCATTGAGACTTGAAGCCAGAACCTATTACTTCATACGTCACAGTCACGGAACCTGCTATTTGTCCAACAGATTTAATAGTAACGTCTTTGATTATAATAAAGAGTTGAACGGGATAAAAACTCTAAGAAAATGCTCATTTGATCGAAGTCTCTTATACGAATTATTAATGAGTGACAACACACACGAAGCTTTTGTACAAAACTTCAGACAAGGAATATCGGATAACATCATACAATCAAATCAGTATATTGATTAATTGTACTAAAAAAAACTTGCTTGATTGGATTTCATTCGTATTTAGAACTAGAACACATAGTAATGTTTACTATTTACCAACTGACAAGCATACAACCACAGTTTAGTTCCCATCATTATTATTAGTCCCTTGGGTTCCTAATGGAACATAGGGCTTCACTAGCACGTCTCCATTCCACTCTCTTCTCGACAATCTTTTCAACCTGGCTACACGACTGCCCACAACCTCTCATTTCCTCCTCGCACCATCTCCTCCATGTCACCCTCACCTCAGACGCCCAACTCGTCGCTTCCCATCGGGGTTCCACTCGAGTGCCTGGCCTGACGTGTAATGTCCCCAGTCGGCCTTCTCAGTGTATGCCCAATCCATCTCCACTTCCTTCCAGTGCATATTCGTTCAGCGATAGCTTCTTGGTTGGTTCGTTGTCGGAGTTCCCTGTTGCTTATTCTGGTTATTCTGCCATCTGAGCTTCAGTATCGAACTAGCGTAGGCAGTTGTTGATGAATGTCTGTAGTTTGTTGGAAATCCCTTTCGTAGCGCGCCAAGTCCTTGAGCCATACAGAAGCACTGATTTGACGTTGGTGTTGGAAATCCGGATGTTGTTCCACATGCTGAGTGGAGTGGAGTAGATCTCCACACTGGTTTCAGGTTAATGAATGCTTGTCTTGCTTTTCTGATCCTGGCTGGCTTTGACGTCCTCGTCTGTGCCCGTGTCGCCTGTAGTTGAAACAGTGTATCCTAGATAGGTGGAAGAGGCTACTTCCTTTATGTTTCTCCCGTTGATGGTGACTGGAGTTTGTTGTTGTTGTTGTTGGAGTTGTTGGTGCGGTATCTTCATCACTTCTGTCTTCTCTATATTCACTTGAAGTCCCGTCTTCGCTGCCTCGCCTCTTCTGTCAACTTGTTATTTTTCGCCTGTAGATCTTCAAGTTTGTGTGACATCAGGCACAAGTCATCATCGGCGAAATCCAGATCTTCTAGGTTCTTTTCACCGGTACAGCCAGCGTATCCCCTTCTTCTCACAGCTCCCCGCTGTTTGCTGCTTGATCCAGTCCCGTCGACCACAATCAGGAATATCATGGGGAATAGTAGGCAATCTTGTTTCACTCGTTCCTATCTTCACTTCAAAAGCATCACTGAGCTTCCCATTGTGTTCCCATCATATAATAAAAAAATTTAACCATTCTTCAAGGTGAATTTTATTTAAAGTTCTAATATATCACAGCCAATGTAACAATCAATATCGCCATTTTTAGAAACTATTCAACAGTAAATGTCTAACTTTTTTGGATCAACCCTATAACTTTCTATTGCCTTGATAAGTAAAACTGACCTCTAGATGAATTGATCAACTGAAAGTGTTAAGTCACAGTTCATCATGAAAAAGAAATGTGATCATATCCTTTGACAGAGTTTTGAACTCGATTAAAGCAAACCGATTGGAAATTGAACACTGACAAGTAAATAGGTTCTGTATGTCCACTTCAAATTTCTTAACCACATTTCACTTATGGCAATGTCTGTCACTGAAAGGCGTGCCTAGTAAGTACATCACCTTATTGAAAGCTCTCTACTCGAACACTTGTGGGTGTGTTAGAGCCTATGGTGAGTTGTCCAGGAGCTATACTCATCAAGTGGTGTCCGTCAAGGATGCCCACTATCTCCATTCTTATTTAATTTTATCATAGATATTCTTATGGAGGTTTCCCTCTCGTCACCTAATTACACAGACGTTGACCCAATCACAGGTGAATTTTCTTTAGATCTAGAATATGCAGATGACATAGTCCTGTTAGGTGAAGACGCTGACAAGATGCAGAGTCTTCTGAACACTTTGAGTGGGAATTTGAGAATGTTTGGGATGCGATTTTCACCACCCAAATGCAAATTTTTGCTCCAGGACTGGTCTTCAGCGGTACCACGGCTAACAATAGAGAGTGAAGTGGTTGAGTGTGTTGACCACTTCACTTACCTGGGAAGTAGGATCAACCCTGGTGCATTGGTTAGTTGCCGATGAGATTTCTGCACGGATACAAAAGGCTCGATTGGCTTTTGCCAATTTGCGCCACCTATGGCGCCGCCGTGATATTCGTTTGTCTATTAAGGGTCACGTGTACTGCACCTGCACAGCAGTCCACTCTGTTCTACTCTATGGCTGTGAAACATGGCCATTGAAAGTGGAAGATATAAAAGGCTTCAGGTGTTTGACCACCGTTGCCTTCGTAGTATAGGACGTATTCCGTGGTGTCACCATGTGAGTAATGCAGAAGTTAGGTGTAGAGTTTTGGGGAGAAGAGGTAAGTCAGTTGACGAGGTTGTGAACCTTCATCGACTGAGATGGCTGGTTGGGACACGTACTACGTATGCCTAGTCACCGATTGCCTCGTCACACAATGTTGGCTGAGGTAGGTCAGGCTGGAAAAAGGCCCGAGGTGGCCAGACTAAAACATGGCACCAATGTATGAAGTCTCTGACTGTTGGTTTAAGCCATGTAGGACGATGCAGACTAGGTGGTTGGGGTCCACGGGACAAGAGGAACCAGTGGTTGGAGACCCTAGGTGATATGGCTCAGAACCGAAGTCAGTGGCGCAGATGTATACACACATTATCCTCATCTTAACAACACTATACCGAATCTCACTATTTTGTCACTCCTCTTTCCTTTCTTCTCGTACTTTATATTTCTTTTGACTGCATTCACTTATCTTCATCCTTCACCTCACTACCTTTTTACTTGATGTGCTGATATGAGGTGTGGCAACTCGGACCGTTACGCAGTAATGCCTGGTCCTATGTTGATAATGGTTTCACTAAACAGCTTAGCAAAAATAAAACTGTACGATTAAGAATAATTTTCAATTCTAGGTAATTCTTGTCATAAGTTTACCAATGAAAATGATATGAACCTATGCATTAAGTAACACGTTACTGTAGAGGACTTTGTTTAATAATAGCTGCTTAGAATTAGTCAACAACATTGTTAGCTCACCTTCATCACTTTCTAAGTCACGGATAAATTGGATTGCATCTACTACTGAATTTATATATGCCAAGAACCTATTGATGTATTCCGATTTCAGTACTGTAAATGTATCATCTACATATCCGAACCATATCTTTGAAGTAGGACTGAATGTTTGAAGGGTCATCTATTCCCAATTATCCATAAATATGTCTGTAACGATAGAGGATATTGGTGATGCCATAGCAACACCTTCAGTTTGTTTATATATTTTTATTTTGAAACTTAAAAAACTGTAGATGTTAGGCGCAATTGTACTCCTAGCATGATTTCCTTGATCGGCACCTTAGTTCGATACGTAAGTTTTTTGTCATCCTTAAGCTCATTCCTAAGTGCCTCGAGAGCCAGGTCGATCGGTATATTTGTGTAAAGGCTAGTTATGTCAAAACTAACCATTTTTTTTCATTGTCATCTAAGTGTATATCGTTTAATCTGTGCTTTAAGTCATAAGAGTTGGTAAGTCGAGATTTTGAGTGATTTCTTATTGGGCCTAACACCATTGCTAAATATTTAGATAACTCGTAAGTCAGAGTGTTTCTAAAACCTACTATAGGCCTGATGGGATCACCTGGCTTATGAATCTAAGTAGTACCATACATTCTACTGGGATTATTAGTTTTCGGCATTAAATTAAACCACTTTGACTCACCTAGAAACGGATTTATCCGGTGTATCAGATCCCCTGTCACTTTCTTAACTTTCTTCATAATAGTATTCACTGATTTCTTAATTTACTCATATGGACCTGTTTCTATATGCTCATTCACTTTGTAGATGTAGTCAAACTTGTTGAGTTGCCTTTATCCAATCTGACAATTACTACATTGTTATCATTTCGAAGGTTCTTGAGAGCTTCTCTTTCTAATTAGCGTAAATTAGATTTCATTTTCTTTTGTTAGTGTTAGAGCACACTGTGTTCTTACGTCATCTGCAGCTGTTTTATCTATTGAACTTAACACCCACCTCATTTCAATTAAAGTAGGCTTAGTTAACTGCCTTAGTGATAGGGTGAAAAAGCTTACTACTAGTAGATCAGAAAATATACGACAAGAAATTAGACACATCAACAATACTCTACGTCTCAACAATTATCCACCAAAGTTTACAAATAAATTCATAAGAAATCGAAACAAAAATATTAGTAGTGGTAGTAGTAATACAGGTGTTATTGACAATAATTCCATTACTAATGGTGATAGGGTTGAGAGAGAATTCAAAGCCATCACTATGTTATCATACAAGGAAGGCACCTCACAAGTATTACGAAGAATTCTCAATAAGCTGGGATTAAAGTGGCATTTCAGTAGAACAGCGATTTCGATTCAATACTTAGTTACTTGGATAAATAATGCCTTCTGATTGGAATCTGTCCAATTAATGATGGGATACTACAAGTGACAACATAAAACTATACCCGTCGCACAAGAAGTAGCTATCGTGAATCGGCGACCCAGTGGATAACGCTCTGACGCCTGAAGCAATCGGTCCTGATTTCAAGCCCAAATAGGAACAACATCATCTACTAAAAGGCAGGTGCGTCCAGCTAACGAGTCCAAAACTGGACGAAACGAGCATCCTAGTTACAATCTATCATCACTATAACCTGAAATGAAAGGCAATATCGAAACACAGATGTTAGTTGGATGGCAGCAGTTGGAATAAAGCCCTGGGTTCAGGTTTCGTGCTTGTTGCAATCATCAGCGAGGCGTGTCTACGACCCTGACGGAGCTGATGTCCTCCCTGAGGTTCGAACCCACGCCACCCTGAGCTGCAGTCGGCGACGTTACCACTGAGCTATTCAGGCAGGACCGACCTTCTTCTCTTCAGTCCTACAGGCAATCAGTTGCTGCCTGAATAGCTCAGTGGTGACGTCGCTGACCACAACACTGGGTGGCGCGAGTTCGAATATCAGGCACGACATCAGCTCCGTCAGGGTTGCAGATACGCTTTGCTGACGAGTGCCACAAAGCACGAAACCTAGGCCCAAGGCTTCTTACCGATTGCTTCCATCCAACTAACATCTATCAAAGTGCATCGCCATGCTGAGCTGCCTAGTTTGGTGGCCGCATTGCGTAATGATTGGTAGAATTCAGTCAACACATAGGACTAGACAACGTGAAGTTGGTTACCCTCCAGTGACCAATCAAAATATCGATGCATCTATGCAGATCCCATATGCTAATAGAGACCGATCAATTTGATCCAATCAATGATGAGGTAATACAAGCAACAAAATACAGTAATGTGAGTATTTCAGGAATCCTAGATCAACTAGACTGACTTTACGATTAACAGAGAGTTACTCGAAAATTAAAACCTTGTTACTTAAAATGTTCCTATTCAATTTGACGATCATATTCATTTATAACACAGAGCATAATTGACTGGAATTTAAGTATAAAATTCTACAGCATTTGACTAAGGAATCCAATACAGCCACCAGTGAATGGCTTACTGCATAAACAACCAAGAAGTCAATGAAATGACTAAATAAATATTTTGCACTTACCCATCAACACATGATGACGATGATAATGACAACTCCGGAAATAGGGAATTCGATGAAACAGGTGTATGGATAGAATGTAAATGATCTAAATTCTTTGATGAATGTATTGCAACACCCTTCTTCGAATCAACAACAACTAAATGTGGTTGATATGGATGAAATTTCACATGTGTTGGTATACTACTGACAGTATTACTAACAGTAGTATTGCTACTAACATTATAGTTATAATAGGCAATCGGATGAAGATAACCACTACTGAGGGAATTAGTTGTAGTACTGCCACCGCTGTCACTACTACGTAGGCTAATACGACTTCTGGTCATATTATTATGAGCACCATGATCACTGGAAACACTTCTGGCATTTGTCATCGGTGTATTAGCACAAGAGATTTCACCGGCAACAAGTTCCCATTGTATCCGACCTAGATGAGAGAGTTTTCGTTGTTTTCTTAATCGATTCACACGATCTGTATAAGCAACTGCATCTGGATCAACAGAGATTGTTCCCAATGAAACTAATTCATGATCCATACCTGAAAAGGGATACAAAAGAGTACCGATAGTTAATATATGGTGAGTAGTAGTAAAACAACAAAATTAAACACAATGATATATAAAGTAAACATATACGAAAAACGCGTCCCAGATCTCAATGTTAGTCACAACATGAATACATCAGGAACATCCAATAGTATCTAGGCATTCGGATAGAAGTCCATCTACAAACAGAGGTCGAGCGATTCGACTCTGTATAGCAACAAGAATTTACAGGTATCAAAGACCAACTGATACGCGTTGTACAAGAGGTGACTATCGTGTCTCAGTAGCCAAGTGGATAACGCTTGGGTGTTTGAAGTGATGGGTAGTGGGTTCGAGTCCTAAGGGGAACATCACACACTAGGGTGTAGGTACATCCAGCTGACGAGTCACAAATAGGACGAAACGAGCATCCTGGCTTGGTAGTATACATGGACCCTTATAGAGAAGGTATAGTCTTACTAATGTGACAAAAAACCCAAATATCCTGAGCTAAGTGGTTAAGCGACTCATTCAAAAACTGTTTTAACAAAGTGTTTGCTTGCGGGAAGCCTGAATAACTTCTTTTCAGTAATCATCGGTAAACATCATACAGCCGATAGCGCATCAAGACGCCTTTGAATCAAATCACAAGAATAATTGAAGGTGAGCACTTCATACAAATTCTTCGAAACTAGAGTTTTATAGTGGGTATCGCTTGAAGGGACAGATGAAAAACACCGCCGCAACAACTAAATCCATTGATAAGCATATACAAATACAAAGTGGAATGAAGTTTAAGGAAAAAGCTATCTTTCTACTTCTTGGCTTATAATGGTGATGAGACTTCAGTATGAAACAATTTAGGCGATGAACGTGTTATGTTTTCTCATATTACCACTAACTGAATCTTTACTGCTTCCCACAAGCATATGCAAACGTAAAGTATATACAAATAAATTAGATAGTATCTTAGTTGAAATGCGTTAGAATGTCAAATACAGTGTCTAAATCTATCACTTACTTGATACTCAATCTGGTCTCAAGATCCTAACGTACTTCAAAATAATTAAAAAGTATTGGTTAGTCACGGGAGTGCAACCGATTCCATGTTGTCTAGTCCTGATTGCAGACCGAATTCTATCGATCATATTTGCAATGTGGCAACCAAGCTAGGAAGCTCAGCATTGCGGTGCACATTAGTAGATGTTAGGTGGTTGGAGGCAATGAGCAGGAAGCCTTGGACCCAGGTTTCGTGCTTTATGGAACTCGTCAGCAGGGCGTATCTGCAACCTCGATGGAACTGATATCCCGCCCGAGATTCGAACCCGCGTCACCCAGTCCTACAGGAGGTCATTCGCGACCCGAATAGCTCAGTGGTAAAGTCGCTGACTACTACACTGGGTGACGCCGGTTCGAATCCTAGGTAGGGCATCAGTTCCATCGAGGTTGCAGATACGCCTTGATGATGAGTGCCAAAAAGCACGAAACCTAGGTCCAGGGCTTCCTGCCGATTGCCTTCAATCAACTAATTAAAAAGTAAACTGAAAGTGAAGTTACTGAGCGCAAATGATAGTAAAGAGGTCGGCTTTAAGGCGATTGGAAATCTAATACTAGTATACATCCAGAAACAAGTAACTACTCATAACCCTTTTTCACTCCAGTAGTTTTCCTCTCAGAGTTTAACACTTTTGACTACGAATCATGCCCATTGAGTCATACAGAAGAGATAATTCAGCGAAGAAAATTTTCTTTTCGACGATATCATTTTCTGTACAATCGTATTTGTATTTATATGTATATCATAAACATATAAACAGTCTATTATAAAACAATAGGGTATAATTACATCATTAACCTAGTGGTAAAAACAACCCCGAATCAAGAATGCAAAGTAGTTGCGTAGTAAACTAAGACAGTAGAAATATCGAAGAAGGCAAGGAGTTAGACAAGGTGAAAACTGCTGGTAGATAAGAAACGCGAATATTGAGAGTCCACTTGATAGATTAGATAGATGTAAAGAAGGGGTGAAGAATGAGACAAGGGTGATAATGAAGGTGATAATAATAAGCTAATTAATTATAATGAAATCGAAAAAAAATGAAAGTGTTAAGACCATGGTAAGATGAGAGATTGAACATACTTCTTTTGCACGCAGACATCAGGCTTGAATTGATGAATTGCCAGTGCCTCCTCTGTGCACAACTGTCGAAGGCGTGCTCCTTTTGAACTATTCCATCTGACAAGATAAATGACACTGAAGCAGGATTCTGGTCTAGCTTTATGTTCAGAGTTGACCAAATGTTCAAGAATTGAACTGTTAATTGATTTACATTCTCCCCTCGATAACCATGCAGGATAGTGCTCTGAGATACGTTTGGAAAGTGTGCGCGTTGTGCGGCCTATATAACTAGCTCCACAGGAGCAAGTAAAGTTGTAGACACACATCGAGGTGGCCCTAAGTGGCAACTTGTCCTTAACACACTCCGCAATGAGTTGTTGACTAGAGAAGCTGATCTGCAATTTTGCAGAGAATAATGTCTTCTTCAGTGATCTTGACAACCGATTCTTGAGGATCTCTGCTGTTCAATCTCACATCTTACCATAGTCTTAACACTTTCATTTTTTCGATTTCATTATAATTAATTAGCTTATTATTATCACCCTTGTCTCATTCTTCACCTTTTTTACATCAATCTAACAAGTGGACACTCAATATTTGCGTTTCCTTTATCTACCAACAATTTTCACCTTGCCAAACTCCTCACCTTCCTTGAGATTTCTACTGTCTTCGTTTATTATTATTATTGTTCTTGATTCTGGGTTGTTTTTACCACTAGGTTAATGATGTAATTATATCCTATTGTTTTATAATAGACTGTTTATATGTTTATGATATACATATAAATACAAATACGATTGTACAGAAAATGATATCGTCGAAAAAGAAAATTTTCTTCGCTGAATTATCTCTTCTCTTTAACACTTTTCTTCAAATAACTCATTTCTATTGGTTTTATCTATCTAAGTTACCGATAAAATTGTTTAATATTTTTATATTTGTTATGTAACCAATGACATTGATTACGCTATTTGATTTTCAGTTTTGTTCCACCTTTAAAATATTTATCAAAACTTCGTACAGATAGATAGATAGTTTCGTGAATACCTATTCTGATGATTTCATTCACACTATCGATGAGCTTCAACTATGCAATATCTTTTTAAAACATATAAAACAGTTGCTACATAGTTGTCTTGACTACAAAAGGTTTTTCGCTGTCAACAACTGATTAGATATCCCCTTTAAAACACTGGATGAATTCATATTAATAATACTACTACTCTACTTCGAGGACTATTGTTGTTACTCACCTACGGTATACACTTCAATAAATTATTGGACAGTATATAGTGTAATGTTATGAACAGAGAAAATTTGAATACGGACAGCGATGAAACTAGTGACCTCCACTATGAATTCATATTCTAGCATAGATTTTTGTAAGCATAATACAATTATATTTCTCCAGTCGAAGTTTACTCACACTAAATGGATAACAAGAGTTTATATGATCGGCATGAATAAGTCAGAAAACAGCAACTCTTCTAACGGAATCGGTAAATATGAGTTCGAGTCCAAAAAATAATTTTAGCGTAGTATGTAAGTAAAAACGAAGCCATAGACCTAGGTTTCCTGTTTGTTGATACTCCTTAGCAAGGTGTACCTACAACCTCGAGGTTCGAAGCCGTGTTATTCAATGTTGCAAGTCAGAGACACTACCACTAAGCTACTCAGGCCATATAGTTCCGCATATATATATATATATATATATATATATATATATATATATATATATATATATAAAGAAATATACTATATTTACCAGATGACTTGGATAATTCATGATTTTTCAGTTTTGTATCATCATTTAACTGTCCATAGGTGGATAAAAGTGGGCGAGTAAACCAACGACACGACCATGCGAAGAATTGTGTACGTACAGTATCCAGTGAACAGGAAGATGGAGCAGTGTTATTATTAATACCACTACTAGTACTAGTTAAAACACCATTGCTTTTAACAAATGTATTGGGAGACGATGAAATTCCCTAGAGTTAGAAAAAGTAACAATAAACACACACACACACATAAAAGAAACAATTTATGCTTATCACAGAATCATACTATTTACACTAGAAAATCAATAACAGAAACACAAAATCAATCATTCATATACTCTAGGTAACATGAAGTATAGAATTACCATTCTCTATTGAGGCTTCTTCAAAGGTCAGTCAACGCCGGGTATATGTAGGTGATTAGATGGAGAAGTCTAATAGTTTATATGCTCCTTTGAAAACTCTTGACTATCAATAATTAGAAGCACAATTACCATTACCATTAGCCAATCTAAATATTGAGAGTCACAATACTCGGAAGCAACAGGCGCATAGTGATCTTCACACTGAACATCACTTGATAAGTTAAAAAACTACATTCAAATTCAAGTAAGTTGTGTTATCGACTGAAAAATGTAATACCTACTAAATTCATATGCAGCCATATCTCCTATAGACAATCATGTTTACACGATGGAGAGAGAAACAGTGAACATTGATCTGTGCAATGGTTCCTTAATATTTGTATGAAGTGGGGCAATTTCAGTCGATGCATTTATGTGCGAGGTTCTACATTGATTTTGTCTGTTTGTATCATTTCGTGACGGATAACTACATTTTCCATAAATCAATCAAATGGCAAAAACAACAAGACTGAAAGGCAAAAATTTACTTCGACTCATTAACCATCAATAGGATTATATCTGATGCAAAATGTTGATGAAATCCAATGATACAATTTCATGAATGTGTTTCAATGAACTGAAGAATATTGTCTTCGGTAATTACACTATTTAGCTTGTAGATTGTTAAGCCCATAAATTAGTGAGTGAAGTGAGAAGGAAACCTGAAACCCGACCAAGATAAAACCAAGAGGCACCAGGTTAAGGGAAGTTTCGATTATTATTATTTGTCCTTTGGGTTCCTAGTGGAACATAGGGCTTCAGTAGCACGTCTCCATTCCACTATGTTCTCTGCAATCTTTTGAATCTGGGTCCACGACTGCCCACAAGCTCTCAGTTCTTCCTCACACAATCTCCTCCATGTCACTCTTGACTCAGACACCCAGCTCACCGTTTTCCAACTAGGTTCCACTTGAGGGTCTGGCATGTGATGTCCCCAGTCCACATTCTCAGTGTGCGCCCAATCCATCTCCACTTCCTTCTACCCCATATTTGTTGGGTGATAGCTTCTTGGTTGGTTCGTTGTCAGCCAGCCAGCCAGAGTTCCTTGTTGCTTATTCTTATTATTCTATTCTGGCCATCTGAGCTTCAGTATGGAGCCAGCGTAGGCAGCTGTTGATGTGATGCATGTCTGTAGTTTGTTGGGAACGCCTTTCGCAACGCCCCAAGTCTCTGAACTATGCAGAAGCACTGATTTGGCTGACATTAGTATTGAAAATCCGGATCATGTTCACGCCTTATGCTGAGTGCAGAAGATCTCCACACTGGTTTCAGGTTGATGAACGCCTATCTTGCTTTTCCGATTCGTCTGTACCGCCACCTGTAGTTGAAACAGTGCTGCATAGATAGATAGGTGAAGGAGACTACATTCTTGAGGTTTCTCCCGTTGACGGTGACTGGAGCTTGTTGTTGTTGGTTGGGTATCTTAATCACCTCTGTCTTCTCTACATTCACTTGAAATCCCGTCTTCGCTGACTCGCCTCTTCTGTCAACTTGTTAGTTTTCGCCTGTAGATCTTCAAGTTTATGTGACATTAGACATAAGTCATCGGCGAAATCCAAATCTTTTAGAATCTTTTCCCCGGTCCAGCGTACCCCCCTCTTCTCGCTCCTCACAGTTGTTTGCTGAATGATCCAGTCCCGTCGACCACAATCAGGAATATCATGGTCACCCATGATAGTAGACAGCTTTGTTTTACTACTGTGAAGTTTCGATTAATATCAACCAATTTAGGTGATGTCTTGGTTGACTAGGTATCAAATGAACTTCACTAAAAAAAAGTAACTGTGAAAACAGGATGCTCTGAATTCCGTATTAGATTTGTTTATCTGATGCATAACACATAGTGGTAAAGGATTTTTTCATTCGACGATGACGTGCCGAGTATAAGTTATCACTGCTCAAAATCATAGCAGTGTAGTCACACAACTTTCAACATCTGATTTTTGTAATTCCTACATCCACCTTACATTTTTTGTTTTTATTAGTAGTAAAATTTACCATATCTCTGGTATAGGTGTTGCGTCACTTCTATTACACATGTGTTGGGTGTTGATTCGATAATCAAAGATTCAGTAATCATTCCCTCTCTCTCTCTCTCTCTCTCTCTCTCTCTCTCTCTACCTACCTACCTACCTACCTACCTACCTACCTACCTACCTACCTACCTACCTACTACCTACCTACCTACCTAATTTTATTGGACTTGAGTACAGTGGTTTTATCCCACTCAGCCTATTGTGTGATTTCTTTCTAGATTATTGATCTTATTTGGGTCTATCATTCTATATTAAGCTAAATTTTATGTTCCGCTATTCCAATTGACCCCGACCGGCGAGTTTTACCCATGAGGTAATCTAATGTAATGACTGTGAGGTCAAGTACATAGGTCAAACTAGCCCGTCGGGATCAGTTAGATTAGCTGAACATAGGAATTTAGCTAGTTATTGAATAATAAACCCCAATAGAGTCAATAATCGAGAAAAGTACTCGGCTATTGCAATGTATGCATTAACATACAACAACACAATAGGCTGGGTAGGATAATGCCTCTGTATTTAAGTCCAATATAATTAGGTAGGTAGGTAGGTAGGTAGGTAGGTAGAGAGAGAGAGAGAGAGAGAGAGAGAATGATTACTGAACCTTTGATCATCGAATCAACACCCAACACATGTGTAATAGAAATAACGCAACACCTATACTCGAAACGTCATTGAGTAAATAGTAATGTATCACTGTGTGTTATAAATCAAATAAGCAATTCTAGTATGGAATTACATTCTACCAGAATGCTAAAGTTTTACAATTATATTAAAGATCCTATGAAACTTTTGCTTTATCTTTATAAGAGACACATAATCTTTAAAATTATAGGTTGCATTAATCGCACAAAATGTCAGCATCAATTAACGAAAAGCTGGTTTAGCATCTTCACTAAGTTGCACTGTGTTATGGTGGAGATGAAATATGCAACTGCCTGTAAAATGGGTATATATGTAGGTATAGTTATTCAATTTGCTATGCTACAGTTGTATGAAGCAATCAATGAAAGTGGATACCACCATCAACAGGTGATAGGCTATTAATAATCAAGGTCTTCTTATCACTTAACATATTTAGTAAAGTCATAGAGTGAGCAATATCAAGGATAGGCATAGACACGTTAACAAGAAAGGTAGGTCAATCGACTTGCATGAGGAGTGAATCAATCACAATGACTAGAAATATATGCCATGAAAGTTGAACAGCATATATTATAAAGTGTAGTACCGATTGTGGTACGATATAGTCGACAAATCGGAACATATAATTTAACAGTAGTCAATCACTAATAATATGAGTTATATATATGAAAGCATTTATAGGATTGCAGATATTTAGTGAAATGATTCAAGCAAACAGACGTATTCAATGTCTACCATTTCTTCCAGTAGGAAAAAGATTTTACTTTATACAAAGTGATCCTCTGTATCCAAGCTATTCGCCTACTTGTGAAGAAATATTTTCATTGAGAGTAATCAATGGAATATACAACTTGGTGCATAATGACAGTCTCCAGTATGTTCAGCATTGTCTTATTTAAGGTTTAAAAAACAGTCACAAGACGATATGTGGTTAACAGTGAATTCAAACTCAACTTCGAAAAATTCCCTCTTGTCCAATGAACAGTATCATACACTTTAGAAAACAAATGTAAATGTAGTTTTCCAGATGTAATGTAAATCATAAGTCAACAAAAACAAAGACCAACATACAGAGTTCTTAGCAGATATTGTATTAGGAAGATTGGGAGGATTTGTAACAGATACACGTAGACGTTGATCAGTTTGTCGATGTCTTCGACCTGGGAACTGAGCAGAATGAATAAGTGAATTAGGACCAGCTGTTCCTGCTGTCTGAAGCAATGATGTTGAGCTGTCGGTGTTGTAGACTTTGGACTTGATTCTTTAGTGTTAATCCTGTGGGGGAGAAGAAACAATTTGTTTAAATAAAAAAATTTTTCACACTTATTGAAAATCATAATAAGAGTCCAACGGTGGGGGTTCCAGTCACTTCATTACTATATTTCAAATTATCATGGACATATACTAATCACGGTCTCTTTATCGTGTCCTTTTTACTTCCCACAGATCAACATTGTTGTCTAACTGACAATACACCAAAGACAGTTCTACAGAGTTAAGATGTTGACGAGATTCAGGTCTTATGAAGACTGAGTAACAGCTTAAGAATGCCTGTTTCCAGCTTTCAAATATACATTGCTTCTTCAAAGGTAACATTCCCATATCACCCCCATCTGTTGTTTTTGTCGCTGAGCCCAACGACTACCTTAATTACCTACTTGATGACGAGTTGTTGGGAAAAATACAAAAGACTCAGTTAATATTTGCCAATCCTACATTGGCCATGGTACTGGTAAAATATTTGAAAGCTTTTCATCGGTCGAATGCATTGGACAATGGTTGATCAATCGAAAAAATCTAAATACACTCAGCAACCTAATAAATATTTGTGCAATAGGCAATGAGTAATACCTACTGTGTGGGGGCTAATGATATATTTGGCTATTCAAACCAAGAGAGGTGGAGGATGTTAAAACCTGTGACCAACTGATTGAAAGTCAACTGTTGAAACCAATGAACCGAAATTCTACGCTCCTTCCGTCTCAATATACTGCTCTCAAATACGAACATTAAAGACAGAGAACTTGAAAAAAGCTGTAGGTATCCAGTTATGATAGCTTTCATAGCGTTGTCGGTGTGTGGTGGACTACATAATGTGCAGTGTAGCAGTTAGACAAAAGAAATTAGATAAGCGATGAAAGGTGTTCCATTTATTTCAACTTAAATTCATCAACTTGGGCGATTTAAAAACAATTTATGAGTAATTTATCCTGTATGAAACTAAAAGTTATCTGGTACTCTTCACCTAAACTCACCATTACTCACTCAATTGATGATTCCAACATAAATGAGCGATGCTACAAAGAAACCTGTGTTCGAAAACCAGAAATCGCTTCATCTCATCTACTCTCAACGATTATGCCTCACAACCGCATAACAGGAAGGAACGGACTGCAGTGCAGTATAATCGTCCCTTAATGGGTAGGCCAAAATCTTGCTAGTGGGCGCCACAGATAACGCAAGTTGACGAGCTTTCTCTGTCCAAGCTGCAATTTTGTCAGCAACCAGGTCACTCGTGCTGATACAACTCCTTCAAGTGAGTGAAGTGGTCAACGGATTCAGTCACTCGATTTCCTAACCATGAACTAAGAGCAACTGCAGATCGGTCCTGGAGTATCATCTGATATTTGACGACACATAAAAAACGCATGTGAAACATAGATCAATTTCTGTTTAAGGCATTCAGAAGGCCCTGTACTTTGTCAACGTCTTCATCTGGCAGAAAAATGTCATCTGACTACTCCAAGTCAACCAGATGCCATCTAAGGAGTGGATCCGCCCCTATGAAGTCAGACGTACCTAAGGTTATGTCCATTGACGCATCTAGAAGGAATTTAAGCGAACGATAACAGCTGAGATCACTGGTTGTTGTCAATTAAGATGAAAACTCTGCATAAGCTCCTACATGGATGTGTGAGCTTAAATATACATAATCGCTAGGTACTCCTTTCTTAGACAAACACTGCCACAAAACCCCCAGGTCAACAAATTCGAATGTCATAGAAAAAAAAATACCTTTCCGAACGGCTCTGTGCTGTAGAAGGTTGGCTTATCTCCCGACTTTCAGTCAACATATTTCCAGTAATTACATAATCTGGTCCATTAGCCTTTTGGATAGAAGGATTCACCGGGGTACAAAGAGATATATCACCAGTCATATGTAATTGGATGCATAAACATCAGGTAGTGGAACAATTGTAGAAGCAGTATCAAGCGTGGATGAAGAATCACCGCCAACCACATTGGGTGGATTACAAATAGTTTGGTATTCCGCCTTCATAAATAATAAGAATAGTACCGAAAATATTGACAAGTTATAGTTATTAAAAAACAATCATAGAGTTACTCTTGATGCATTGTAATGACTGAATATATACATTCCTCTGATCCACAAATCTCAGATCACATCAACAATTTCTCTACAAAACTGACAGTGTTATAAGTGTGTTGCTTCAAGTAAGAGTTTGTTGGACGACGTGTACTCAAATAATGGGCATACTCTACATTCTAATAATCTGCTACTTAGCTATATTGAAGCATCAAAAAAAACAGTGCAGAGATTAGTATATACAAGAAGATCCTTCCGATTCTTCATTGGTAGGATTACGCGTAGTTACAAACATTTTTAACTCAACTTCATCAATTTTGAAAAGACCTTTGACATCGTCAACCGAGAAATAGTTTGCAAGCAACTGCTTCAACACTACGGTTTTAATGCCACTAACATTTATCAACAGCATTCAACAGCTGGCTATATGATGACGCCACATACCGAGTCATTCATAATTGGAAGTTCAGTAACTCCATTAGCTGAAAACAGACAGGAGTAAAACAAGACAACGTTGCCGCCTACTACCAACTATAATCTTCCTGATTGTGCTGTGGTGGACTGGATCATGCAAGAAACCGTGACGAGCGAGAAGAGGGGTACAAGCTAGCTGGACCAATGAAAGATACTAAAGATTTAAATTTCGCCAATAACTTGTGTCTAATGTTGCACAAACTGGAAGATCTACAGGCAAAAACCAACAAGTTGGCAGAAGAGGCGAGGCAGAGAAGACGAGATTTCCTTCAGGTGAGGGTAGAGAAGACAGAGGTGATGAAGATACCCAACGACAACGACAACAACAAGCACCAGTCAGCATTAACGGGAGAAACCTATAGGAAGTAGTCTCTTTCACCTACCTGACCAGGCAGCATAGTTTCAACTATAGGCGGAAGAGGCACAGACGAGGATGTCAGAATCAGGATCGGAAAGACAGCAAGACAGACCTTCATTAGTCTGAAATCAGTGTGAAGATCTACTGCACTCCACTGAGCACAAAGCGTGAACATGATCCGAATTTTCAACACTAATGTCAGTCAAGTCAGTGCTTCTATGTAATGGTTGAGAGACTTGGCGTGTCACGAGAGGGATTTCGAACAAACTACAGATATGCATCACATCAACAGCTGCCGCCTACGCTCACTCCATACTGAAGATGGAGGTCAGATGACCAGAATAGAATAATAAGAATAAGCAACAAGGAACTCTGGTTGACTGGCTGGCTGGCTGGCTGGCTGGCTGTCAACGATCCAACCAACAACCTGTCGCTCAACAAATATGCAGTAAAAGAGAGTTGAGATGAATTGGATTGGATTGGGCATACACTGAGAAGACTATTTGGGGACATCACGCGCAAGGCACTCGTGTGGAAGCCAAGTGGGAAACGACCAGTTGGGTGTCCTAGCTGAGGGTGGAATGGAGGAGATGATGTGAAGAAGAAATGAAAGCTTGTGGGCAGTGGTGGAGCCAGATTCCAAAGACGGCAGAGGATATAGTGAAATGGCTATGTGCTAATGAAGCTGTATGTTCCACTAGGAACCCAAGGGACGAATAATGATAATAATAATAATGAAAGAATAAATCAAGGTTCAAAGAAAGTTTTTGCAGCCAATTATCAGTCAGTTCGGGGTCTATGAACGACCCATGGATAATATTTCCTTGTAGGCAGTGAAACGGTTAATGTAAATAAAATTGCAGAGACTTTTATTAATGTTCATTCGCTGAGTACTTCTACACTTCAAACTGGCCTTCTGGGATGTTCAAATGTCAAAGAAAAAAAGAAAGAAATGAAGGATTCACTACAAGAATCAATTTACCACATGGCTAAATCGGACTGGTAGTGAGGAATTCCAACACAGAATTAGAGACTGATTACGCTCACTCACTCACTCACTCACTCACTCACTCACTCACTCACTCACTCACTCACTCACTCACTCACTCACTCACTCACTCACTCACTCACTCACTCACTCACTCACTCACTCACTCACTCACTCACTCACTCACTCACTCACTCACTCACTCACTCACTCACTCACTCACTCACTCACTCACTCACTCACTCACTCACTCACTCACTCACTCACTCACTCACTCACTCACTCACTCACTCACTCACTCACTCACTCACTCACTCACTCACTCACTCACTCACTCACTCAGAAAATAGGAGATAAAATGATATATAGGCTGATATTACGACTTTCACACTGTAAAACTCACGCTACGAAACTACCAAAATCACAATATCTAAAATATTGATATCAAATGTATACGCGGTAAAAAAAATGACATACCTTTTCGCGAATCTGCAGATGAGGGAAGATAAAAAAGTGGGAAAAATCGAGAGAGAAACTTAATATGAAGATTTAAATCAGTAAAGTTTATTAAAGAGAATAATTCTGATAGACAGCATAGTCAAGCATAGTTAAGTGTAGGACCACCCTTTATCAGGTGGTTAGACTATGAGATCTAAAATCTATCAACCTTCCTATCGAAAAAATACCAACTGATAATAAATTCAATGATCAAGTACCTGACGGACAGCTTCTGCTATGACGTGGTAGTTGAACTTGTATATAGCGATGATCTAACGAGCTGTAATGACTAGAACGATTAATCCTTGAAGACATACTATGCCTGAAGGGTCTTTTGGATAGTGGTAAGACAAAAAAACAGTTGCCATAATGGTCTAAAAAATTAAGCTAAGATTGGATTATGAAGTTTTTCTCTTGGGTGGGTGAGGTGTGATGGTGCTAAAGTTTTTCCTCAAGAATAACCAGAAGTCAATACTGAGCCAAGCTTGCCTGAAGCAGAGATGTGGTTCACTGGTTTAGCCACTTCATTTCTAACAAATGGATTACGTGTTCGAACCCAACCTCAGCTAAAAAGGTCTCATTAGCCAACACACAATACGTGTGGCTTATTGCCTACTGCATGAATATACACAAGGTAGCTGAGTCGAAGTTTCTATGTGGAATGGATGAGTTAGAAAATATTGTCGCCCAAAACATCACATACTTCTCTATCCTGTAATTTTCTAGCGACGACGGCATGGGATTTCCAAATATGAAGCAACACAATCGAATCTTAATCCAAAACTTCAAAGAAAGACGTATATGAGAGGAGTCAAGCAGATGTCCCCTAAAGATTTCCAGTCGAGAACCACTATTACCAATTAAATTTCTCTTCTAGACACTCAAGAAGACATCAATACCATAATATCAGCAGGCGAAGGGTATTAAATATTGCACCCTTACAGCAGAACTTAATCAGACGCAACAAAACGCAAATCACTATCACCTGACTAACGTAGCCTCAGCATTACATCATTATTATTTGTCCCTTGGGATTTTAGTAGAACATGAGGCTTCATTGCACGTCTCTATTCTACTCTCTTCTCTGCCGTCTTTGGAATCTGGCTCCACCACTGCCCACAAGCTTTCATTTCTTCTTCACATCATCTCCTCCATTCCACCCTCAGCTAGGACACCCAACTGGTCGTTTCCCACTTGGCTTCCACACGAGTGCCTTGCGCGTGATGTCCCCAAATAGTCTTCTCAGTATATGCCCAATCCAATCCAATTCATCTCAACTCTCTTTTACTGCATATTTGTTGAGCGACAGGTTGTTGGTTGGATCGTTGACAGCCAGCCAGCCAGCCAGCCAGCCAGTCAACCAGAGTTCCTTGTTGCTTATTCTTATTATTCTATTCTGGTCATCTGACCTCCATCTTCAGTATGGAGTGAGCGTAGGCGGCAGCTGTTGATGTGATGTATATCTGTAGTTTGTTGGAAATCCCTCTCGTGACACGCCAAGTCTCTCAACCATTACATAGAAGCACTGACTTGACTGACATTAGTGTTGAAAATTCGGATCATGTTCACGCTTTGTGCTCAGTGGAGTGCAGTAGATCTTCACACTGATTTCAGACTAATGAAGGTCTGTCTTGCTGTCTTTCCGATCCTGATTCTGACATCCTCGTCTGTGCCTCTTCCGCCTATAGTTGAAACTATGCTGCCTGGTCAGGTAGGTGAAACAGACTACTTCCTACTCCCTTGAACCAAACTTCAAAGCAGTTACTCAGCTTTCCATTATGAATCACTCTGCATGTAGCGTCATCATATAGCCAGCTGTTGAATGCTGTTGATAAATGTTAGTGGCACGAAGACCGTAGTGTTGAAGCAGCAGCTTGGCAAACTAGTTCTCAGTCGACGATGTCAAAATCGATGAAGTTTACGTAAAGAGTTGACTGCCTCTCTATACTCTCTTCCATGATGATGCGTAGTGTCGCGTTGCAATTTGATCCCCACATGATTTCTTCTTCGCGAAGCCAGTCGGTTTAGGTCGTAGCATTGAATGCAGAGCATTCTTCTGTCTCTCTAGGATGATGAGGCTTAATATTTGGGCAGGGGAATGATTCCTCCCCAGTCCCTGTAAACCCTTAGGGCGCCCACCCTTCTCAGGGAGTTTGTCAACGTAGCACTTCTTCCAATCAACTGACAGGTACCTTCCCTTCCTTTCAGACCTTCTGCAATAGCGGTGTGAGCATGTCCGCTATTGCCTATGCATCTGTTCTCAGCTCTTCTGGCAGGATTCCATCTCGTCAGGCTGCTTTACTGCACTTTAGTAGCCTTATGGCGTTCAGCACTTCGACTTTCGTCAAAGGGATTGTGTTCACTGGTAGTTGTGTGGCTGACGGTGGTATTTCTGGATGAAGTGCAGGTGGTGGTCGATTCATGAGCTTCTTGAAGTGGTCAGTCTATAGTTTCCCTTGTTTCTCTTCTCTCGTAATTAAATTCCCTCCATCAACTTTTTTTGGTTGCATCTGTATTGATCTCTTTCATAACAGATAGTAAACTGGTTATTTGATACAATGTTGTCAAGTCTCCACTACCTGCAGCCTGTTCTGCTTCACATGAAAGTGTTTCGTAGAAGTGTCTTTTGTCTTTCCAAACACTACTCTTCACTTCTTTCTTCAGTGTTTTATACGTTATACTCAGTCCCTCTTTTCGTCGTTCATCCTTGCACTCGTTTATCCTCTGCTTCACCATCACCACCCTCCTCTATCAGCTTCCATGTGTCCATCGAGATACATAACTTATCTCATCTTGCTTCTTCGTCCTTCCTAATACGGTTATCCAGGTTTCTTTCCACACACCTTTCAAACACTTCCAGTCTTCTCCCATGCAGGTTTCTTCACGGATCTTGCTCAATGACTCCCAGTTTGTCCGCATCACTCATATGAAGATACCCTTTGAAGTTTCATCCTTCACTTCCTGTTCTAAGTGCGCAACTTCAAATGTGGTCTATCATCACCAACTTCTTTTAAGGCCTTCAACTTGATTTGGAAGGCAGGTTCCTTCCACTAGATAGTCAGTGGTCTCAACCTACATCTGCTCCACTTCTTCATCTTCTCTCCACTATGCTGCATCTCCACTCTCTTCACATTCAGATGAAATCCATTTCATTTTCACTGTAGTGTGTACATCTGGTCAAATCAAATCCATGTCGCTGCCTTGGAAATATCCTCGTGTTTGTACACACTGTCTCGCCTCCAGTCACCAAACCGATGAATGAGCACAAACCTCCAAACACTTCTACATTCTCATTCATCATTTCACCCAGTGCCTCTCGACCCATCATGAGTTCTCTTCCTGTGTTGTCCACTCCCAGTTTGGCATTCATGTCACCCCACCCACTCCAATTTTGATATCGCCATCTCAGGTGGCATCTTATCCATTACTGATTGTAGTCGCCTGTAGAATTCCTCCTTCTTCTCCTCATCTCCACTATTTGTAGGTGCATAGCGTAGCATTGTATGATTGTGACTTTACTTCCTTCCTTCCTTTTGAGTTGAACCTTGCTGTCATCATCCTGATCATGCAGGAGGAGATTGGTTCCCACTGCATGAGAGAGAGCCTTCGATGCTCTCGGGGACATCATGATAACCACTCCATAACTCAGTGTACTCGTCGTTGTTGTCTGGGTGACAATATTAGGGTAGATTATTGACTCTCCAGTTGACAGTTTGGAGAGTCTACTTCCATTCCATCTACTTTCGCAGATTCCAACCACTTCTATGCAATACCTTTTCATCTCTTTGGCAATGTGGGCAGCCTTGATAGGTTCATACATGGTGCGGACATTCCATGTCCCAATGCATACTTTCCCTCCCATCGAGAGAAGGGAAGACACATCGGCCGACTGATCTCCCGAAGGCTTTCACCAACTGGCATCATTTCGTCTCCGTGTTTCCAGCGAGGAATAAGTTTGTTCTTTGTTCTTTGAAGTTTCTTTAGCGGTTGGACTGGTTTTAAGGGGTAGGGCTGCTAGCGCTATGTCAAACCTTACTTGTTTATACGGACTTAGGACCGGCTAGTAATTAGTGAACTAGTTAACCAGTCCTGTTAAAAATCTTCTTCTAGGTTGATTATTTAAAAACAAAAATTTATATTTTGGAGTCACCAGTGAATATAACTGATTAACAGAGACAAATTTCTTCACTAGTTGACTAGAAACGATTCACAATTGCATAGTAGTAAAACAAAGAAAAATAGTGTGTATACCTTTGCATATAAATATTGAATTATAATTGTAGCTAATCGAGAGATTTCTGGATAAGGATCTTGTGCCAATTGAACCAAAGTCAACCAAAACTGAACGTAAATATTTGTACTGGGCGTATTTCCACTACCTATTAACAAAAACGAACAAAGGGAACACATAAATATAAGTGAAGTGGACTAAAAATCTGGTCAGCAGTCGGACCTCGTAGGTCAGTTGATAGAGCATCGGGTCGGAATCCCCGTGGTCGCTAATTCGAATCTGTCCGCGGTCGAAATTTTCATTTCACCTTCAATCACCACCCAACATAAAGAAGTAGCCAAAAACAAAAGTTGAATTGATAGTTTATAGGGATTGATTGACTGATCTCAAAAGAATTTTCATCACTGATTGACATTAATTAGGTTAGAATAGCATGGTTCCTACTCGCCAAGTACTTTGAATTTGAGATATAATGCTACCATGAACCAATGCCAATTATTTATCCTGGCATCAAACTTAATTGACTCTACAGGTCACTTTTCACTAAAGCTTCTAAAGAAATTCACCTCAATGGAAGCTGTTAAAAAGGGATGCACAGAAATTGAGTACCTGTCAAATCGATATTATTCTGTGGAAACCTACCTGATAGAACGAAAAGTTGTTAAGTATTTCCTTGTGATTGAACTCTAGGTCATAGATATTATTTATTTGTGATGAACATATAAACGGACCAATATATAGACAGAAGGTGATCATTAAAACACAGGATCGCGGGTTTATATTGTCGTATTTCACAAGATGATCGAGGGAAAAGTCAAATTAGTTGTCAGATTTTGAAACTGCCTCTAACCCATGACAAATCGCTTGCAAAACCAGAGTATTATTATCCCCTAAGTCGAAAGCCACGATAGTTACTTCTTTTGCTACGGATACATTTTTTTATGTTCTTACTTGTATTACTTGCTTGGGATCGACCCTGAGTTTGAGTCTTAGTAGAAACGTCACCCACTGGGAGACAGGTACATCTAACTGTCTTGCTAGCCACCATTCATCATTAATGCAAAATTGAGACAAGGCATCCGTACAGTAGCCCAAAACTGTTTTACATAGAGACTCCATTTATTATTAATTTTAAAAGAGGGCAACTTGAAAATATCACCTTTGGTGTTTAGCAGGAAGTATATTCAATTTACGATAGGTTGTATAAATGCCATATGACCCAGACAGAAAAAAAACTAGAATTGATTGGTAATCAAATTGTTTTGTGATTGACAAACCAATAAATTAAATATTATTTTGTTTTAAACCATATTAATAAATAAATTATAACAAACCAGTAAAAAATACTGAAGCAGAATTGTTGAATGATTTTCGTAAGATCGGAGAAGCTTGTTGTTGTTGTTGTTGTTGCAAGTTTACATGAGTCCTATAATAACTTTGAGACTTGACAACTAACTGATGATCTTCTCGACCTGTTGGTCTTGTTAGAGGTAGACCATTACTATTTGAATAAATATAAGATGATGAATTCGATTCCAGTTGACGAGAAACATTAAGACCTCCTGTACTTCCACTAGTAGGTGTGATTAAACCTGTAGAAAAGGAATAAACAATATAGACAGTCTAGATAGTTAAATCAAAAAAAAAAAATTAATCGAAATTGAAAAGTAAGCAACAACCTTTATGCAAACTCATGCAATAAATGATGAGCAGGATTCGAACACTTGATCCATTGGTTGAAAGTCATCTCCCTAAACCAGTAAGCCACAGTTCTTTGATAGCGAAACAAAACCTTAGTATATTAAACAGCCAATTTATTTTAGCCCACAATCTCATAGCAGTGTGCACCTACAATCTAACACAGTATGACCGTTACATTGCATGGCGAATTCAATCGTTTACATTATATAATTTCTGTGAATTTATGTTATAGAGCGGCTGAACTCAAATGTCATCAAGTGAGTCAGTGTTATCAAAACTAACGTGAAGTAAGTTCGATTAGATTCCATTCTATTGAAATTAACAACTTATAACCTGAAAGATACATTTGAGTTTACGCAAAGATAAATTTATGGTATCTTGTGATATATGGTTCAGAGATTTGAGGCATCACGAAAGCATTTCCAACAAACTACACATATGCATCACATCAACAGCTGCCGCCTACGCTCACTCCATACTGAAGATGGAGATCAGATGACCAGAATAAAATAATAAGAATAAGCAACAAGGAACTCTGGGAAACGAACCAACCAAGAGCCTATTACCCAACAAAAATGCAGTAAAAGAGAGTTGAGATGAATTGGTTTGGATTGGATTGGGCATACACTGAGAAGATTATTTGGGGACATCACGCGCAAGGTACTCGTGTGGAAGCCAAGTGGGAACGACGAGTTGAGGATCTGAGTCGAGAGTGACATGGAGGAGATGGTGTGAGGAATAAACGAAAGCTTGTGGGCAATTGTGGCGCCAGATTTTGAAGACTGCAGAGGACACAGTGGAATGGAGACGTGCTACTGAAGCCGTATGTTCCACCGGGAACCCAAAGGACAAATTACAATAATGATATATCAGCATTGTTTGCCAACGTACCGCTAGAGGAAAAAGTCGATATCGTCTGTCAGCACTTAGATGAAATATGTATGTGCCAGACGGAACTCAAGAAGTTACTGCTTGTGTGTACTGAGTGTATAATTTCAATTTAATAACAAATTATACCACGAAATAGACAGAATGATGATGGGAAGTCCTTTGGGATCTGGCCATTAGTCAAACTACGATGCATAACAGGTATGTTGACAACATGTCTGTTTTATGTAATGACATGAGTTATGCCACAAAAACTGCAAACAATATTTAACAAGGCATATATAGATATAAAGTTTACCATGGAATATGGGACAAACAATGAATTTCATTTTTCGGTCTTGGAGCTTTGAGGAAGAGACAGATCATTTCAGATATCTGTCTATAAAAAACAAACAAACATGGAGTGGATAGTATCTCCATTTTAACAGTTTCTGTCCTATGAGTAGTAGGCGACGGCTAGTGAAAACTTTACTGTATCGAGCTAGAAAACTTTGTTCAGCAGAGAAACTCACTGAAGTAATTCACTTCATCGAGAGATGTATGAAAGAAAATGATTACCCTAAGACATTTATAGATAACAGCGGGAAAATGTGAAGTTGATAATCCAAACAAGAAGCTTCTGTTTCTCCGTCAAACTTTGCAGGCGGATGTGAAGAATTAGCAGGGCAGTAAGAACAGCAATAAAAATCACCTTCCCAATAGCTAAAGTAGCCTCCGTATTCAAAACAAAGTGACCACCATCACAAAAATTTGAAGTTTACAGGTTTCTGCTTCATGTTGCCTCTATTTATCAAATCATATGCAGGAGAACGTAAATCGGAAAAAGAAAGAGAGTTAGAAGGAACAGAGTTGAACAGATTTCAAAGAGGTTAAGCTTGGAGAAGACGAATACCCTCGAAAATCCCGCTACTAATTATTTGATGGACACATAACATAACGTCTACATTTATAATGCTTTTCAAACAATCAATAAATAGAACAATATTAATGATGGATTGTAGCTAGTAGTAGAATCCAGGACACGCGCTTCATTGTATTTGGGACTCGTTAGGCGGATTTACCTGACTCCCAGTGAATGGTATTGCTCACGCTAGGACTTGAACTCAGGACCAATCACTTAGAATGCAGGGGCGTTATCCACTAGTCCACAGAATCGCGATAGCCACTTCTTGTGCGACTCCATAAAAGTGAAACACATGCAATATGGAGGCATCCGTACAGCATCCTATAGGCCAATAGAGACTGATCGATTAGGTTCGATCAATGATGGGATAATATGAATAACGTCACATAAATTAAACCCGTCGCGCCAAGTCTCAATCGTGACTCGTGGACAACGCTCTGGTATTTGCAGAGATGAGTCGGAACAACATCAGTCATTGGGGTCCAGATACATTCAGTTGGTTAGTCTCAAATAAGACGAAATGTGAGTCCTGGATTCCACTGCCAGTCAATGTCTATCATAAATACAAAAAAAAACTAATTTACTAAGATTCATAGAAGCGATTGGTATCAGAAGGTTTATCCAAAGACACTAAATTGTTAGCCTCCAGCCTTCAATAATCTGTTTCATTTTTTCCTTTGGGTAGCTAGTGGAACATAAGGCTTCAACAGATCGCCTCCATTGCACTCTTCAAAACCTCTCTCCACAACTGCCCACAAGCAAGCATTCATTTCTTCCTCACACCATCTCCTCCATGTCACACTTGACTCAGACACCCAACTCGTCGTTCCCCCTTTGCATTCCATTCGAGAGTCTAGCCTAGCGCGCGATGTACCCAGTCCGCCTTCTCAGTGTATGCCCAATCCAATCCATCTCAATTTTCATTTACTGCGTTTTTGTTGGGTAACAGGCTCCTGGTTGGTTCGTTTCCCAGACTTCCTTGTTGCTTATTCTTATTATTCTATTCTCGTCATCTGATCTCCATCTTCAGTATGGAGTGAGTGTAGGCGGCAGTTGTTGATGTGATGTATATCTGTAGTTTGTTGGAAATGCTTTTCGTGACTCGCCAAGTCTCTCAACCATCACATAGAAACACTGACTTGACTGACATTGGTGTTGAAAATTCGGATCATGTCCACGCTTTGTGCTCAGTGGAGTGCAGTAGATCTTCACACTGATTTCAGACTAATGAAGGCTTGTCTTGCTGTCTTTCTGATCCTGGTTTTGATATGCTCATCTGTGCCTCTTCCGCCTGTAGTTGAAACGATGTTGCCTGGTCAGGTAGATGAAACAGACTACTTCTTTCATGTTTCTCCGATTGATGATGATTGGCGTTTGTTGTTGGCTGGTTATCTCCATCACCTCCGTCTTCTCTATGTTCAAGTGAAGTTTCGTATTCTCTGGCTCTTCGGTCAACTTGTTGGCTTTTGCCTGTAAATCTTCGAGTTTGTGCGACATTAAACATGAATTCAATTCGTTATATAGCGTGACTAACATTCAAAATATCCAGTTGGTATCCACTTCACATTTCGACTGGTTGGTCCCCTTAGGTTTTCACTGGTTCTCCAATTGATGTCAGTCAGTGATGAATACTACTACTTTAACGACTAATTATTTTATTTGAACTCCCTTAAACTATATCAATTCTTGCAGAGTCTTTTCATCAATAGACTATCATCTTGTTGATAACAACATTATAGGAGTTGGATTGTGACTTTATAACCCGTAAGTAGTTGAAAAATTAGCGACGAAATACAATTAATTAATTGTATAAACTGCAAGATTTGTTATTCTAGCTTTGCTGAAATTTTGACATTAATTTTGAAAGATCTGAGCTAACATCTTCGAAGAAATATAACACAATAACACGAATAATAGCTTTATTCCAAATAAGACTTGTAGTACAGTCAGTATGGAATTCTCAGCATGTAATAATTCAGTATATTCATTGGATTTGAACAATGTTAATAATAACAGTAATAAAAGATATGGTGTGAAACAAGCACCTGGTATTACATCAGCGCTCTGCTTAGACTGGTGAATGAATAATAAATCGAGTGTAATTTTGGTGATGGTAGAGTTTATTCAGCCAGCACCAAAATCTGCAATTTGACATAGTTACCCAAAGAATAGTAACATACTGTATTTCTTTGCATTTATAAGCTCATCTCTTACCAGTGTATCGTTTATTCGTTGCTTTATTGTTAGCATGAAAAACAGCAGTTTGAAACCTTTTTTAAAAGTGCGCGGGAGGAGTACTTGACATTTTTAAAAGATTAAAACAAAAGCAAACGTATAGATTTGATAAAATAAATTTCGTCGAAAAAAATTCCTGGTAGCCCAATATTTAAGAAGACAACCACTTGTTGATAAGATCCACAAACAAACAAGTAATATAGACACATTTAAGACAGATGCATAGAAGGCTTTATCAATCTTCAACTCTGAGCATCAGATTAAAGGAGGGTAAATAAAATTCAACAGTAACGCTAAAATAATGTATGATGTTAGATAAGGCTTTGTCTATGATACTAACAAAAGTAATGAAAACGTCTACACTTACTAATTGTACTATGACGCATAGGTCTTTTAATAGGACAAGGTGAAGCTGAAAGCACTGATAATTTTGGACCAATTGGTTGTTGTGATTGCCTAACTTTAATCTCTTGTATATATTGAATACCGATAGCACATAATTGTGATTCAAATTGTTTCACTAATCCACGAAATGCTTCAACCAACATACAACGAACCAATGGACTTGCATCACGAGATGATATTTTCACTAGTTGACCACCGATTTCATGACTAATCTAATTGAATCAAAATAAATTACATTAAAAAGGATATTAATGATGAATAGTGGCTAGCAGTGGAATCTTAAACATGCGTTTCATCCTATTTGGGATTCGTCAGCTGGATATACCTTCACTTGAGTGAGTGATGCTCTCCCGTTAGGACTTGAACCTGGGACCGTTACAAGCAACAACACTAACAAGGATAGTTCTGAAATCGGTTGCCATGAGCGAAAGTGTACATTTAGTTAACGAGTAGCAAACAGGTCGAAACATCCACATTGTGGATTCTGTTCTAGACCTGAACGAGGGTGCATCGATCAAATCTTCACCCTCTGACAGGTTCTGCAACATAGAAATAGATCCCCGCCAATAACTAACATTTGACATATTTCCTGACCTAAAGGCGGCACTTCACTCTATCGACAAATATGATGTGGCGGTGTCTGACCGTAAAAGGAGTACTGAGTAAGTATATCATGCCTATCGAAGCTCTTTACTCCAACTCATATAGCCATGTCAAAGTTTATGCACAGTTTTCATGCGAATTGATAGCGGTGTACGCCACAGATGCCCACTGTCACCATTCCTCATAGACGTACTAATGGGCATAACCTTAGGTACATTTGACATCATAGGGATTGACCTACTCCCTGGAGGTCATCTGGTGGACTTGGAGTAGGCAAGCGGAAATATCCTGCTACGCGAAAATACTGATATAATGCAGGGTCTTCTGGGTGCGTTGTGCAGAAATCTGAGTATGTTTGGCTGGCATGCGTTCCTTGTTGCTTATTTCTACTATCCTGGTCATCTGATCTTCAGTAACGAGCCAGTGTAGGCAGCAGCTGTTGATGAATGTCTGTAGTTTGTTGGAAATACCTTTCGTAACGCCCCATGTCTCTCAACCATCACATAGAACCACTGACTTGACGTGTGTTGAAAATCCGGATCATGTTCACGCTTTATGCTGAGTGCAGAAGATCTCCATACTGGTTTCAGGTTAATGAACACCTGTCATGCTTTTCCGATCCTGGTTGGTTTTGAAGTCCTCGTCTGTACCGCCACCTGTAGTTGAAACCGGTCCAGCGTATCCCCCTCTTCTCGCTCCCCACGGTTTGTTGCATGATCCACTCCACTCCACTACAACCAGGAATATCATGGGTGATAGTAGACAGCCTTGTTTTACTCCTGTCTTCACTTCAAAAGCATCACTGAGCTTCCCGTTGTAGATCACTTGGCATTTGGCGTCTTCATATAGTTGTTGAATTAGATTGATAAAGGACCCAATATACTGAATCCTAATACACTCAACAGAAAAGAAGACCCAATTATCGAAACAACTTGGGCAGTAAATCCGTACTAGTCATAACTAAATTGAATACACTTACAAAAAGACTGCATTCTTTATTCATAGTACTTTTCTCACACGTTCACACTCATTCACATGTGCACACATTCATTCTGTTTACATTCACCATATTACGTCATTTAACTTAGTAAACAAGTATTACTTCGGTCCTGGTAAGTCTTCTTCTCATGACTATATCAAACTTCAGGTAATTTTTCTCCGACCTGATTTATAAGTAAATTGTGAACTTGTTGATATACTTGTAGTTTTCCATTGTTAAACTGTATAGAAGTGTTCGACCCCTATTCACATATGGGCTCCTATGCGGATGACTCGATATTGTCTAGATATTTATTATAGTAATTTACTTGGTTGTGGCTAGCAGAGGACACGCGTTTCGCACTATTCGGGACTTGTCAGCCAGACGTACCTGAAGCCCAGTGGGTGATGTTGTTCCCACGGAGACTCGAACCTGGTACCCATCGCTTTGAACGCCAGTGTTATTCACTTGGCCACTGAGGCACGACAATAAATATTCAGACAATATGCATGCATCCGCATAGGAGCCCATATGCCAACAGAGGTCGAACGCTCTAATCCAGTATAACAACGTAGAATCACAACTATATCAACAAATAGTAGCAACTAATGCCGATTGTACAAGAGGTGGCTATCGTACCTCAGTGGTCCAGTGGACAACGCTTCGCGTTTAGAGCGATGAGGTTCGAGTCCCCGCGGGAACGACATCACTCACTGAGGGGCAGGTAAATTCAGCTGACAAGTCCCAAGTAGGACGAAAAACGCGTCCTAGAGCTCTCTGATAGTCACAACCGAGTAAATCTGAAATTCATTCAAAATACTTCGTAAAACATTCCTTTTTCTGTTACTATGGGAATAGAGTATTTATACGCGATTGTATAGCATGAGTGACTCTTCGCTAAACGTCTTTTCTTCCATGCAACAAAATTTATTGTTCTTGCTCTGCAAAAGGTTATAAAGGAAACTAATTGTGCACAGAAATAATGGTAACAAATATTCACAATTTCAACTGAACAACACAACCAGTTATCCAGCATTTTAAAAACAATGATATCATTAACCAACTTGTAGCAGATGCACATATATTCTCTTTTATCCATTGTCTACTACTCACCTGATCAGCATGATCCTGTTTTGATGCATCTGTAGTTTGATTCTCTATAAGATTCCCAAGAGCATAAACTGTAGCGGCTCTAACCTAATTGAAATTTGAAATAAATGAATTTCAATTACGTCAGTGATACAAATTAATTCACGGTATTACATACATATAGAAAGTGAACTGACATGCGGTAGATGATGTAGATGGTTACAAACTTCATTGTAATAACCACTCAAACTCTATAAGCTTGTTATTCACGATAAGCAACTCGACGGTATTTAAGAGAGGGTTTTACTCCGATTTCTAGCTCAGCTCCCAATTCTAGGTCGGAACTCATCAGCTCGGATGTTATCATCCCTTAACCCAGGGAAAACGTACCCTCACTGCGCAAAAAACATTTTTAGTAACTCAATACATGAAAACAAACACTCCTAAAAGAGTATTCTGTTAACGTTTCCTCAAAACTAACCAGTGAATCCCTCACTCTCAACTGTTAGTCTTCAATGTATCCATATTCACCGGGTAATCGGCACACTGACCTTGCTCACCTTCTCGTAAGCAGGGGTGCGTGGGATATGTCTCACTGATTATCCATAATCTTGCAGAAAGCGATGCAGTACTCCTCTTTGGAAGGTTTCTCTCAGGCTACCTGAGAAATACTTTTCCGCTACAGTGAGCGATGCCTGGCATTTCGGACCGAATACCACACCTTCACAATGTAAACCCCACCACCTATCTTGGGATTTCAGCAACAGTGACTACCAGAATAAGGGAGCTGGATTCCCTTACCCATAATTGGGGCACTGATCTCAGCGCAGGGGGCAGAATCCTGATAGTCAGCCAGCACATCTATGCTTTGGAGATCCACGCCTCTGACCAGTGCATATGGATCTCGTTAACTGTTAGGTAACATGAAATTGGTTGCTGTCTCGTGATGACGAAGTCTCGAGCATAAATTATCCCTCATAATCATATGAGTGTAATTACACCACTTTCAAGATTTGATTTTAATGATCCGGTCACTTCATATTATTTGTTGTATTGGCAGTAAAATTTTCCATATCTCTAGTATAGGTGTTGCGTTATTTCTATTACATGTGTTAGGTGTTGATTGATTCGATGAGCAAAGATTCAGTAATCAGTCTCTCTCTCTGTCTCCACTTAATTATACTGGACGTAAGTACGGTGGTTTTACCCTATCCAGGCGATTGTGTGGTTACGTGTTAATGCATGCATTGAAATAGTCGAGTTTTTCCTAAATTATTGACTCTATGGGTTGTATCATTCTATATTGGGTTATATTCCTATGTTCAGCTAATCTAGCTGACCCGGTCCGACTAGTTTGACCTACGTGCTAGACCTCAAAGTCATTACATAAAATTTGATATATTAGATTATTTTGTTCATATCGTCCTATCGGATTTTTCAGTGATAGATTTAAATGTCACTTTAAATCTCGCTTGGTTGAGGATCCTAAGTCAGGTTCCTGATGTCTCTTCGTTATTGGATAATACAGTGGAGGCTGTGAACTCCTTTCTACTCGCGTTACTGTTATTATTTCGTTTCTTATGTGTTCGTGAAATTTTAAACAGGTATAGTAGTAACTAAAGAGAGAAAATGAACTGTTACGTTAAGTGGTAAATTGTTGACGGTAATTAGAGACAGTAGGGAGAGAAGAAGATGGCTAAATCTGTAATAATAATAATAATAATAATAATAATAATAATAATAATAATAATAATAATAATAATAATAATAATAATAATAATGGAGCTATTAAAATATTGTGTGGTGGATGAAATGAAGAGTCTTGTTGTAATAAATGAGCTATACAGATGGCCAACGCAAAGAAAGAGGCTGTACGAATTTCTTCTGAACACATAGACGTGACTTGTTTAGGTGGATTCCTATGGCTTCTGTTGTATATAAAAGACGAACTCGTAGAGCATGGGTGACGTTAAAGGGATTGTGATAAATAACTTTAAAGGCATTATGAATATTAACTCGGTGGCCGGTATCAATCAGATGAGAGAGTATCGATCTGGTTTGCCCCTTACTTAGCCATGAAGGATGATGCTCGGTGATTCGACGAAAAACTTTCCTAAATGTACGTCCAATGTAACTAGCTCCACAGAAGCAATTGAACTGGTAAATGCACATAGAAGAGGCGAAGTCATGCAGTCTGTTTTTGAGTCATGTGGTCATCATCGGCTGACTGTAGAATACACAGCATAACTTTGCGGCATTAAATGATCTTCTTGTGGTATTTCTTAAGCATTGTCTTACAATTTCGTTGATGATGTCACCTCGAAATTGTAGTCTTAGGAACAATGGTTTCTTGGAGACTGTAGGTATTCTGGTCTTCATATTGGATGTGTCCATATTTTTAGCCAGGAACGTTTCTGGATATCCATTACTACTGAGTAGATCATAGATAATGTGAAGCTCATCATCAAAAGTATTATCTGAACAGATGAGTCTAGCCTGATGGACCAAACATTTAACCAGATTTTGTTTATATTGCAAGGGGACGAAACTCAACAAGTGGATGTATGGACCTGTTGACGTTGGTTTCCGAGATACACTTCTTTTTATATTTCTATCCACCTTCCTTGTCAATAGGACATCTGAGAAGGTGATGCAGTCGTCACTTTCTGTCTCAATGGTGAAGGTTATCGCTGGATGAACGCTATTGAATTTATCCAGTATAATCACTGCATCGTTGTATATGTATGTATGTATGCTCTTTTCCATTGCTTAATGTTATATATAATCAAGTATGTAGAGTATCCAACTGACGAGTACTACTGAGATTTATGAATTCATTAAATCCTGCTTTTTTCACACTTGTTGCTTGTTTTACATTGCATCGTTCTCGTTGTTCACAATCAAGAATGTAATATCTACATAACGCCAGTAAAATTCTAACCCGCTTACGGTACTTTCCAGAGGGCCATTTTCTAATTTCGATAAAAAGAAATTCGTCAAGACTGGGCATAGTAGTGACTCCATAACGACACTGTCTGACTGTCCATAGAATTCCTTATTGAAGAGAAAGTGTACATTCATCGTACATCGTAAGAGAAGCTCTTTCAAGGTGGATGCCGTAATTCCAATTTCTATGTTTCTCTTTTCCAGTTCGCTACATATGAAGTCCACCGTCTCCATCAGCGGGACATATGTGAATAGGGATGATATATCTAAGGATATCATAGACTTATTATTCACATTCAAATCTCTTATCTTATCAATAAAGTGAAAAGTATCTTTGACGCTGTGCTTCACAACCTCCTTATGGAATGGTTTCAAGAATTGTACTAGCCATTTCGCTGTCACATGATATGGAGAGTTTGACATGTCAAGAATTGGTCGGAGTGGTTATCCATTCTTATGCACTTTTGGTAAACCATACAACCTCGGTGTTACTGTGCCAGCAGGTCTGAGTGTCTCATACACAATTTGTGAAATGAAACCTTGCTGTTTCACCTTCTTTAAGGTTTCAGATAATTGCCTCTCAGTCTTCTCCGTCATGTCCGTATTGGTTGATAGTTTCTGAAATTTACTGTGATCACTAAGAAGGCTGTTCATTTTATCCAAATATTCCACTTTGTTCATAATAACCACCCCTGAGCCTTTATCGGGCTTAGTGATCAGTAGGTTCTCATTCATTTGGAGTTTACGTAAGGCTTCTCTATGTTTTCCAGTCAAGATGCCTCTAGCATTCTGCTTACTATTCATAAATTTGTAGCAACAGTCAACCAGGGTAGACTTATATCTTTCTACCTCCTCACTTGAAGAAGGTGATACGTTTTTTGTCTGTGAGTATAAGTTTTCAAACTGAACTTGAGCGTCTATTCTATTTAGGTGTAATATGACTGTCACAAAACTTAGGACCCAGAGATAATGCTTGTAGTGTTACCATGTCAAGATCAACATTAGTGTATTCGTAAGAATTTCTTAATAAACTGCAGAGGCCAATTATTAATAATTAACGCTTCATTTATGTGCTTCAGTTTCTTGTTTACGTCCTTGCACTGACTAGTTAGTGACTATCACTTAGACCAAGGGTCCGATGGAACTAATTGAGCAAAATAATCTAATCTAACAAATTTTATGTAATGATTGTGAGGTCAAGTACATTCGTAAAACTAGTCGGTCGGAGTCAGTTCGATTAGTGGAACATAGGCATTTAGTTAATTATAAAATGACACCCTGATCGAGTCAACAATCTAGGAAAAACTCGACTATGGCAACACAACCAAACAATCCGGTGGCTAGGATAAAACGACTTTATTTAAGTTCAATACAATTAGGTAGAGAGAAAGGGGGATTGATTACTGAATCGTTGTTCACCGAATCAACTAACACCCAAGACATGTGTAGTAGGAATGACGCAACACAATACAATATGGAATTCTATTCTTATTGTTGATATTCACTACATACTTGTAAGTGTTCGAAACTACACTATCCTAGATAACTGTTTTATCCTGTTTCAAAAATTTCCAACAGTAATGGTATAAAACTAATCTTTTCAGTTTTATTCTAGAAGAAAGAAATTCGAAAGCAGGTTTACACATAGTTAAATAGTATAACTGTACGCCAACCGCTAAGGTAAAAAAGAATAGTGTATATCTATAAATGACAGAGAAAGTGAGACGATTTCAAGTTTATTTCTTACTTTCTTAAGAAGCAGTAATCGAGCCTTTAATCTAAGTCGAGTAATTAAATTGCCTCCTCTTAAGCAATATTATAATAGGATCTTACCAGAAAAGAAAGTTAGGTATTCAGTACATATTCATTGACCCCCATAAAACGATATGCTGGTTAGAAGACAAGTAGTCTTACGATGATCAACATCAAGATATGTCACTTATCCATAGTAACTCAACCTAACAGTTTGAGAAGAATGTTTAACTGTATCGTGTGAAACCGGTGGCTATACGACTTTAGGCAATATGATTTTAAACAGCTCCAAGTCACACTAATTCCTCCATTTTCTCTGTAATTTAGCATAAAACAAGTATGCTATTGAAGAAGAGTCGAATGGAATAACAGAGGTTATTTTATTGGAAAACTACAATAGTAGAAATATTGAACCTCTGAATACATCCTCATTTTCGACGTCTTAGCGTCCTCTGTCTTCGTACTCGAAATGTCTTTTTGCTCTCTTAATCTTTGCCAGTTGACTACTATTACTTCTCATGTTTCTGAATGTCGTGCTTTATACTACTGATAAATATAAGCGCTTAGAGACCCTCATCGACTTTCAATCAGTAATGGAGAATATTTGTAGCCCAAGTAGACGGTCTTGGTTGTATTGTGTTCTCTGAAGTTAGTGCTGATGATTTTGTCCAGAAAGACGATGAAAGCTTCACGACTAAATAACCCAGCTCAAAGAACACAATACAACTAAGACTTTCAATTAGTGTTCACTACACTTTTACTTGCAATTTTTCCGCCTTTATATTCTAGTCGTTGATAGGTAGCGACAAAGAGGTAGTCAATAGAGAAATTGTTTACAGATCATGATTTATGCATGTACTGATATGATAACCTGATTGGACAAATTCGAAGTCATACAACCAATCGGATTGATTTATTTACGGCTTCATTTTCTGAGGGTTTTTTAAAAATATATATAGCATGTATTTGTCTAATAAAGTTGTTGTTGTTCTTCCAGTCGCAGGTTGATTTTCGTTGCTCAGTGAAGAAGAAGGTACTTAAGGAGGTCAGTCGTAATAGTATTCGGTTGGTGTCTATTGAGTCTCAGTATCACTATACACGCGCCCGTAATTCCACTCGGTCACAACAGTCGTATGCACATTTCAGAATTTTGTTTGAATTCAACATCTCTGACAAGTTCAAAAACTCAACGTAAAAACTGTCCACATTGAAAGCAACTTCTGAAAAACATCCACGTTTTATAACGATAGTCAACATAAAGTTGCAGGATATTATTTTCTAGTTGAATGCATGCAACGACTTTGAAGAATAACGAAGCATGAATGTAATCAGTAGACATAAACCGACCTAACAAGTGCTTGTAAAACAGATCACGATTGAAAAAAACTGCGAGAATTTATAAGGATAGATAGACAAAATCAGCGTAGAGTCAAGCACACATGTGCAGCACATTAAGTTGCCGCAATTCACAGTAGTATACAATGGAAAAGGGATAGAGAAAGAGTCCAACTCTCTACCTAAACTTCATCGACTTTGAAAAGACCTTTGACATCATCGACTGAGAAATAGTTTGCAAAGCAACTGCTTCAACACTACGGTTTTAATGCCACTAACATTTATCAACAGCATTCAACAGCTGGCTATATGATGACGCCACATACCGAGTCATTCATAATTGGAAGTTCAGTAACTCCATTAGCTGAAAACAGACAGGAGTAAAACAAGACAAGGTTGCCGCCTACTGCCAACTATAATCTTCCTGATTGTGTTGTGGTGGACTGGATCATGCAAGAAACCGTGAGGAACGAGAAGAGGAGCACAAGCTGGCTGGACCAATGAAAGATACTAGAAGATTCACATTTCACCAATAACTTGTGTCTAATGTTGCACAAACTGGAAGATCTACAGGCAAAAACCAACAAGTTGACAGAAGAGGCGGGACAGGGAAGATGAGACTTCCTTCAGGTGAAGGTAGAGAAGAAGAGGAGAAGTGATGAAGGTACTCAACGACAACAACAACAAGCACCAGTCAGCATTAACGGGAGAAATCTATAGGAAGTAGTCTGTTTCACCTACCTGACCAGGCAGTATCGTTTCAACTGCAGGCGGAAGAGGCACAGACGAGGATGTCAGAACCAGGATCGGAAAGACAGCAAGACAGACCTTCATTAGTCTGAAATCAGTGTGAAGATCTTCTGCACTCCACTCAGCATAAAGCGTGGACATGATCCGAATTTTCAACACTAATGTCAAGTCACTGCTTCTATGTAATGCTTGAGAGACTTGGCGTGTCACGAAAAGCACTTCCAACAAACTACAGACATTCATCACATCAACAGCTGCTGCTTACACTGTTTCGATACTGAAGTTCAGATGGCCAGAATAGTAAGAATGACCAACAAGGAACTCTGGTTGACTGGCTAGCTGGCAGGCTGGCAACGAACCAACCAACAACCTATCACTCAACAAATATGCTGAAGTGGAAAGCGGAGATGGATTGGATTGGGCATACACTGAGAAGGTGGACTGGGGACATCACGCGCTAGGCTAGACTCTCGAATGGAATGCAAAGGGGAAACGACGAGTTGGATGTCTGGGTCAAGTGTGACATGGAGGAGATGATGTGATGAAGAAATGAAAGCTTGTGGGCAGTTGTGGAGAGAGGTTTTGAAGACTGTAGAGAAGAGAGTGGAATGGAGACGTGTTACTGAAGCCGTATGTCCCACTAGGAACCCAAGGGAAAATAATAATAGAAAAAGAGTGATATCCAATTGGACTAAGCTGCATGAGACAGTAAATAATTCGAAAACAAAGTTAGTGCGAATGTTCGAATGTAAGATGACGTCAACGAGTGAATACATCTGCTCCATATTCAACTGTGTCATTAGGAGTCCACAACCATTGATGCCTATAGTCTTAGGGACCCCAAACATGTAGTCTAACTCTCCCTAACACGGCTCAGACCAACATTAACGGAATTCATGGACTGGTGCCACATTATGGTCTGGTCAACTTGAATCCGCCCTCTAACCTAATCCAGCTTCACTTAGCATGGCATTTCGAGAAAGGTGGTGACTCGGCATGCACAATACATGTCCAAGCCATCTTAGTAGACTAAGATTCAAAGCTTTATCAGTCGACTTGGCTATCTTGCCTATTACCCTTCGCCTAACTTCGAAATTGCTCTCTTGGTAATTCCGCCATACGCAAGCAATCCTACGAAGACACCAGTGATCAAAACCGTATAATCGCTTTTTATCTTCTACATGTCTTAGTGCCGTTGGAAATTTACTAGAAATTATGGATCTATGTAATGATTAGTTTGAAATCATGTCTTCATTTCAACAGAAAAAATATTACATAATTTCATTCGACTAAAAGACTGGTGCATCAGTCAGTTTTAATATGTCATCAGACATTACACTGTGCACAACAGTCCAACTTGCCATAATCTTACGTCATCATATGAAGATATAATGCAAATACGAAGCATCTCTGTACCATTGTGATCGATCTCGACAACATTTTGAAGGCAGTTTTTGAGGTGCTTTGATGAATTTAAAGTTTTCCTTAAGTACTGCGGTACATGATTAACTTTGATTACGTTCAACTTTAGCCTTGTCTTACCCAAAACCGACTATCGAATGCATTAGATTAATGAAAGGAAATAAAGAAATCAACATTTCAAAATCAATGATCGTAAGTTTTTGAACCTCAAATTTTGACCTATTATTGTGTCATTAGAGTAATCCTATTGGACAGTGGCTCTCTACCGAACCAATTAGAATGAATCAACTGATATGCCTGAAGGTCACGAAGAACTTACGAGTCACCATCTTATACTTCCTGGAATACTTCAGTGGAATAAAAAAGTATTATATCGAAAACAGCCACTGTTCTTATATATCCCAGGTATATCAGCACATAAGGTAACGTTAAAACTGTATTGATTACCTTAGTTACTTGAAAAAGTAAACCCAGGAATATTACTATTTGTATTTAAAAATATTATTTCAATTGAAATCCTAGACAGTAGAAATTACTTACCTCTGGTGAAATATCATTTAGATAGGCGAGTAGAACTTCAGGTAAATTATGTCGTATACCGAACCATCGAGCTTCATCATTTTTACACCACAACTACAAAGAAAACAATGAGTTATATAATAATATTATCTAATGCAATAGAATAACAAAAACCCAAGAGGAGGTAGGCTTAGCTTGGAACTCGATACAACTCTGACACAATCAAGATAGCTTAGAGTAAGCTTCACACACACCTGGATTACTTGAGGTAGTTCAAATGGCAGACTAACGAGAATCTATTGATTGAAAACGCCAGCCATTAAACAGTATTGATGCATGGAATAGGTTCCGGTTCCTGTGTCTTAGAACAAAATGCTTAGCTTCAAAATATTGAAACTCTTGTTACCACAACTGAGACTTTCATCAAACAGTGAATCCAAAATAATATTGTCAACGTAACCCTTTCTCGTGTGGTTGTTTGTACTATTCTATCATTGATTGAATCGAATAGACCAATCCCTATTAGTGTACCGGCTCCTGCGCGGATGCCTCGACATTGCCTGTGTTTTAAATATGTATAATTGATAGATAGTGTATAGCAGTGCAATCTAAGACTCCTGTTCCGTCCTACTTGAGACTTGTCAGCTGGGAGGTAGGTACACCCAGTTGACGAGTCCCAAATAGGACGAAACATGCGTCCTGAATTCCAATGTTAGACACTATCCATCATTAAGAAACCTTTCTCACATAGAATGGAAATACAATGGTAAGGTTGTTTTCTACCAGGAGAGATATTTTCTCGGAACGAAGCCTAACACAATACACTGTTTCTAAAGAGAAAATATCCCTCGAACTATTTCACTGCTTTATGCTTACACCACCTGTGGCCCCGCCATGATATTCGATTGTCTATTAAGGGTCGCGTGTACTGCACCTGCACAGCAATCCACTCTGTTCTACTCTATGGCTGTGAAACATGGCCGTTGAAGGTGGAAGACATGAGTAGGCTTCAGGTGTTTGACCACAGTTTCCTTCGTAGTATAGGCCGTATTCCATGGTGTCACATCGTGAGTAACGCAGAAGTCAGGTGTAGAGTTTTAGAGAGTAGAGGTGGGAAGGTTGACGAGGTTGTGAACCTTCATCGACTGAGATGGTTGGCTCCGACACGTGTTACGTATGTCTAGTCACCGGGCTGCCTCGTCACATATTAGTTGTTGGTCGAAGTAGGCCTAGGCTGGAAAAAGGCCCGAGGTGGCCAGACTAAAACATGGCACCAATGTATCAAGTCTCTGACTGTTGGTTTCAGCCGTGTGGGGCAATACACACTAGCCGGTTGGAGTTGGCGGGACAGGAGGAACCAGTGGTTGGAGACTCTAAGAGATATGGCTCAGAACCGATGTCAATGGCGCCGATGTACATACACATTATCCTCAATCTTAACACTATACCGATTCTCACCATTTTGTCATTCTTCCCTTCTTTCTTCTCGTACTTTATATTTCTTTTGACTGCATTCTCTTATCTTCATCTTTCATTTCACTACCTTTCTTCTTGATGTGGTGATATGTGGTGCGGCAACTCGGACCGTTACGCAGTAATGCCTGGTTCTATGTTGATAGTGATGATGATAGAGTTGTGGCGTATTGGTTTAGGGAGATGACTTTTAAAATATGCGTCACGGGTCAGAACACCACTTCAACTACTGAGGTTTGGGCAGCCATTGCACAATACGTGTAACTCCTTGCTTACAGCACGAATGTGCATAAAAGTGCTGAGTGCATTTTCGATTCGACTGCACTGTAATTCACCGCTTTCGAACTATCGCAACGTGTTCTGTATAAATCAAATAATGTCAAGTATGAAGTAAGGTGAGTACGCCAACGGCAATAATTTTATCAATCAGTGTTTTCTTTCTCAAAAATCACTGGAATAAGACAACTTTAGCCAGACCATAGAAAGTTTTTTCTAAAAATGTGATATTTATATCAAATGGATTCGGACTACTGACTGACAAAAACAACGTGAAACCTCGTACACAATGAATCACATCAAGTTGCCACAACTCACAATAATGTATACAGAACAAATAGGTAGAAAAGACTGACATCAAAGTAGACAGAGTTGTGTGTGACAGTGAATAATTTGAGGAGGATGGTCAGTGGAAATATTCAAGCTTTAGATGTCAAGGGGTGAATACATCTGCACTATTGAGACTGATTTCCAGCCATGTCACTAAGAGTCCTCAATCACTGATTTTTTCGGTCGCAGGGACCACTGCCAGACAGTCTACATCTCCGCATATGACTCAGATCAACAGGCATGGACTTCACTAATTGGTGCCATGAGTTGGTCTGGCTACTCTGAACCCTCTTCCAACCTAATCCAACACCTGCTGGAATTGAACCTCGAGGTGGGCGGTGGATCAGTATGAGTGGTACATGTCCATATCACTTCAGATGACTAGGATTCATAACCTCATCAATCGCCTTGACTATCTTTCCTAGTATCCTTCGTCCGACATCAATAATGCTCACACAGTGATTCCACGAAACAAGAGCTATACTATGAAGATATCTATGATCAAAACCGTGTAATCGCTTCATGTCTTCTACTTTAAACGACCATATCTCAAAGCCATACAACAGGACAGAAGGGGCTCCAATGCAGTATACTCATAAGGGCCATAGATGACACAAGTTGACGAGTGCCAGACAAGCCTACAATATCCGAGTTGACAACGTCAGCAACCAGCCTATTCGGATAAACTAGCATAGCAATGTGATGATTCATTCTAAACTGTCATAAACTGGATATATATATATATATATATATATATATATATATATATATATATATATATGGACAAGAGTAAGACAAGGCGGCCTACTATCACTCATGGTATTCCTGATAGTGATGAACTGGATCACGCAACAAACTGTGAGGAGCGAGAAGAGGGGGATACGCTGGACCAGGAAAAAGTCCCCAGAAAATTTGGATTTCGCCGATGACTTGCGTCTAATGTCTTGTGGCAAAAACTAACAAGTTGATAAAAGGGGCAGGACAGTGAAAACGGAACTTAAAGTGAACGTAGAGAAAGCAGAGGTGATGATGATACCCAACTGAAGCCACCACCGCCACCACCAACAACAAGCTCCAATCACCATCATCAAGAAAAACTTAAAGAAAGTAGACTCTTTCACCAATCTAGGCAGCACTGTTTCAACTACAGGCGATGGTGGCACAGACGAGGATGTCAAAGCCAGCCAGGATCCGAAAGACAGCAAGACAAGCCTTCATTAACCTGAAACCAGTGGGGAGATCTTCTGCACTCTGCATAAAGCGTGAACAAGATCAGGATTTTCAACACCAACGTCAGTCAAGTCAGTGCTTCTGTGTGATGGTTCAGAGACTTGGCGGGTCACAAAAAGCACATCCAACAAACTACAGACATTCATCAACAGCTGCCTACACTGGCTCGTTACTGAAGATCAGATGGCCAGAATAATAAGAGTAAGCAACAAGGAACTCTGGCAATGAACCAACCAACAACCTATCACTCAACAAATATGCAGAAGGAAGTGGAGTTAGATTAGGCATGCACTAACAAGACCAATTGGGGACATCACTCACCAGACCCTCAAGTGGAACCCAGATGGGAAACAACGAGTTGGGCGTCCCAGCTGAGGGTGACATGGAGGAGATGGTGTGAGGTAGAAATGAGAGCTTTTGGGCTGTCGTGGAGCCAGGTTGAAAAGATTGCAGAGAACATGGTGGAATGGTGAGGTGCTACTGAAGCCCTATGTTCCACTAGGAAGTCAAGGGATAAATAATTATATATATAAACAATATTGAAACAAATATTAAACGATGACGATTATATTTTTTTTACAACTCACTTTAGCTAAAGCAAGAATAAGCCATAATCTCATACGTATGTGCATTTCTTGATCATGAATAGGTGTATTATCAAACAGTTGGGTTAATACAATTGGCAGAAAATTCTGTTTCAAATAAACATCTTGAAAAAATGGATCAGGCTAACCAAGAAAGTGAAAATAAATACATACAGTAAAGCTTAATTAATACACCACAACTTGTAAAGATTACAAGAGAATAAAGAAATATATATATATATATATATATATATATATATATATATATAAACGATGATAAGCCTATTTCTATAGATTATTATTAGTGTAATCTACTAGTAGAATTTCACAATACTAGTAATAATGATATTGAGATGAGGTGAGGTGACAATTATTGAAGTCATGAAAATGAGATTCAATTGATTAGAGCTGTGGTTGCATTCCTGTTTATATATTTAGCAGATAATATGTATGTTCATATCACCATTTCATTATGAATACGATTCCTCAACGAAATATGTTATCTCAGACTGAAATTCTCTTAGAAATTAGTAAGAATAAGAGAAAATTAACGTAAATGTATTTCTTTCAGTTTGTTAACAATATTTGTGTTTGACGTACAGATACAACCAACAGAAGTTTCATCTGTATATCCTACTGGATCTTATTCAATTACATACATTTGAACTGAATTGAAATGCACTCAGTAACCTAATGTCAGATATTCATGATGTTATAATGATCTTGATGACTAGCAGAGAAAGCCAGGATGTGCATTTCATCCTAGTTCAGGCTCTTCAGTTGGATGTACCTGCACCCCGGTGCAAAGTGATGTTGTTCCCACAGAGGCTCGAACCCAACACCCTTTGCTTAAAAACGAGAAAGTATTATCCACTAAGCCACAGCTACATCTGGCTGACGAGTCTCAAATAGAACGAAATGCACGTCTTGGATTCCTCTGCTAGTCATCAAAATCAATATAACATCATGATTATCCGGCAGTATCAAGAAATCCATATAGGAACCCATTAACCAACGGAGGTCGAACAATTCGACCCTGCATAGCAACGGGAAATTACAAGTATCATTACAACAACTAACATCCGTTGCACAAGAGGTGGACATCGTACCCTAGTGGTTTGGTGGATAACACTCTAGCGTTTGAAGTGATGGGTACTGGGTTTGAGTCTCAGTGGGATCAACACCACTCACTAGGGTGCAGGTACATACAGCTGAATAGTCCCAAACAGGATGAAACGCGCATCCTGAATTCCACTGCTAGCCACAAGCCATCATTACTACGAAATAATGGAGATAGATTGAAAATGGAAATAAATTACTCAAATGCGGTAAGAAAAACAAATAATGGGCTTAGAAGGAATAAAGTCGGATGAACTGTATAGTACTTATGACTATCTTGGAGGATAAAATACGCCCGCTCTAACTATTGTAATAGAAGAAACTGTAGATAAAGCAAACAATGTTATTTATACTTGGAGATGATTTAAGTTGGAATGAAAACCTAAGCCGTAGTGGGATTCGAACCAACGACTTTCGGAGTAATCTCAATGATAACTCTATAATATACTCACCTCTCCAGATTGATCTTTTTCTAACATTTTGGCCAATGCAAAAGCTGTGATTGTTCGAGTGAGAGGCTATCAAAATAGGAAAATGGACAGAATGAAGTATTTAAAAACTGCTACTATAACCACACGAATAATAAACAATCGATATATTATTATTATTATTTTCCCTTGGGTTCCTAGTGGGACATACGGCTTCAGTAACACGTCTCCATTCCACTCTCTTCTCTACAGTCTTCAAAACCTCTCTCCACAACTGCCCACAAGCTTTCATTCCTTCATCACATCATCTCCTCCATGTCACACTTGACTCAGACATCCAACTCGTCGTTTCCCCTTTGCATTCCATTCGAGAGTCTAGCCTAGCGCGTGATGTCCCCAGTCCACCTTCTCAGTGTATGCCTAATCCAATCCATCTCCGCTTTCCACTTCAGCATATTTGTTGAGTGATAGGTTGTTGGTTGGTTCGTTGCCAGCCAGCCAGTCAACCAGAGTTCCTTGTTGGTCATTCTTACTATTCTGGCCATCTGAACTTCAGCATCGAAACAGTGTAGGCAGTCTCTCAACCATTACATAGAAGCACTGACTTGACTGACATTGGTGTTGAAAATTCGGATCATGTCCACGCTTTGTGCTGAGTGGAGTGCAGTTGATCTCCACACTGATTTCAGACTGATGAAGGTCTGTCTTGCTGTCTTTCTGATCCTGGTTTTGATATGCTCATCTGTGCCTCTTCCGCCTGTAGTTGAAACGATGTTGCCTGGTCAGGTAGGTGAAACAGACTACTTCCTATAGATTTCTCCCGTTCATGGTGATTGGTGCTTGTTGTTGATATATAAATCTGAGTAATTATGAAACACTTATGTTAGCAGGCATTATTCTACTGATACATCAGTAAATAAGCACACTATTTATCTGATATATGAACGATTTTCTTCAGATCAAAATACTCAATATTAAAACACATTGCATTGTAGTATCGTACTAGTTTTAATTAACGATTAGCTTGTAAAATTTATCGACAGACTTCAAACACATCATTCAATGATCAGTCAATTCATCCACATTAGCGAGTATTTACCAATGACTATGTATATCGCGAATTTGAGTAAAAATATCTCACTAGAATTGATAATGCACTTGCATTATATTGATCATTTTTTATCTTCTCAGTAAGATATGATTAAGTGATGTTCCTTATTTTGATATTTGTATCATCCAAATGAGAATGTAAAACAAAATAAATTTGTTTCAACTAACATTGCTCTATTCAGTGCTCCTAATAGCTTTATCAAAGTTATACTGAACCGGAATTTAAAATATCCCTCAAGCTTATGCATGATAACGTGACAAGTGTTCTTCCGTATGAATGACTCTGTGTTATCGAAACTGAAGAATAAAGATAATATCCATATGTAATGTGTGTGTGTGTGAATTACAGATTGAGATTTATATGTACACATGTGTTGATAGTTCTTATCACCTTGATGTATATTGGTTATGTCAGTATGTAGGAATGGGTTGAGATCAGGTCAAACTACGTTTTACTTCCATATTCCCATTGAGAAAATTATATACGGCGTACTACTAGACAACTTAACAAACTTGTTGCTGAGCCTCTACCTTCATGGTTAGTAAAGAGACAGATAAAATCCATCAGGAGCTCAGTTTTATCTTACCTAGTTGATAGTGGTCACTCAATGGATAAGAAAATTGCTTTAACGATTATATACCGCATACCATCTCATCTTTCAAAAGGTATTCAAACTCGTCTTTTACACATAACAGAAGCTGTGGGAATTCGAGCTAATAATCCTAACCTTTGTATCCAGAAGTAATTTGTACATCCCTTATCTGTCCCTTGGCCAGGGAACACTTAGTTAGTAACTTTATCATTCAGTTGTTGTTTTTTTCCTACCCCTTTTGTATACTTACTGTATTTGTCTAGGCTGTGTTTATCCACTTACCTCACCTTTCGCTATTACGTAACTTTTATTTTCACAAGCTTTTGACCGATTTTAATTGTAATTCCACTTAGTGTGAAGAGATTCTGCTATCAGACATTCTTTAGAATTTCTAAAGCCTTTCTGAATAATCTCGATATTTCAAGTTGTTATATTTCCGAATCTCCACAACCCCCTCAAAAAAAAAAAAAAATTTAATTGAACTAGTGCTCGTTGGTGACTAGCTTCGAGAAGTATTCCCGAAGTTCCAATGAAAAGTCGTGACCGGTGGAGTCAAAGCCTGATGGTCGTGAGGACAAATACTCAACGATGACATTGGGTGGCGGTTTGCGCTATATCGTGAGCTAACAGAAGTTGGAAATATGGAGCATTGGATTCTGACCCAGTGGCTCAATGGTAACGCGCTGGTCGCGGAACCTGAAGGTCGCGGGTTCGATCCCTGCTGGTGGGGTCGTGGGTGCGCACTGCTGAGGAGTCCCATACTAGGACGAAACAGCTGTCCAGTGCTCCCAGGTTTCCTTTGTTCCTCCAACTGATGTCAGTCTTCGATGAATAACAACTTGAAATATTTCCAAATCTCCACAACCCCCTCAAAAAAAAAAATCTCGATATTATCTAGATTGATCTTGTCACCTGAAATTATAGCATGTACACATATGGCAGAAGTGTTTCCAAGTTTTTTTCAATTCCACTAGATTTCTATGGGGTTGACTGGAAGCTCGTTGATGTTCATTTTTCCTTAATTTTGATTTCACGAGAAGCTTTTCCTATGTATATTGCATCACAGTCTGAGCATTTTATTTTATAAACACAATTAGACTGTGAATCTAGAGGGTTCTTGTCCTTTAAATGAACACTCCAATATAGCATTTGTTGATGACTTTCCTACTTTGATCCGATTTGTACAATCGATGAGGGATAACTATCGTTCAGGCCCATAATTTAGGAGTAGTTTTACCACCTAATTCAATGTTATTTTCCATTTTGCTAGTGAATTTTACCAGACAATTATTCATTTTAAGTATCTTGTTCACATATTTTAATTGTTTAACTCTTTCATTCTCATCCGCTATAAGATTGTGTGCTCTCCTTAAAAGACTAGAAACATTCGCACTAATTGGATGTGATTGGTTGAGATCTAAATATTTGTTCGAATGCGTTACTTTCCTGAAAATGGTTAGACCTGAATGTTGGTTTTCTTTCCACTTGATAAGACAACCAAGGAAAGCCAGTCCCCTCCCCTTATTCATTACTTCTTCTCAGCTGAAGTTAATACCGAGAGATCAAGAGTTCAGTTGATCTTAGAATGCCTGGTATAAGTCACGTTTAAAGACTACGATTAAGTCATCAATATGTCTCAGCCAAATGTTTGGCTTTAGTAAGTGAATGAAGACACTTTTTTTCAAATTTATTCATAAATAGGTTACCTACTATGGTTAAGTGACTTGAAAAGTTGACTTTCAAGAGAAGGTATATTTGGTTGAAAAAAACACCCCTCCACTTGCTTTGGTATGGACAAACAATAAGTATGGCTCAAAGATAAGTACAACCAATATTGTGCTCAAATACACTATAACTACTATCTTGGAGAATACAATATTATACAAACTTATGACACTATAACTTCAATAAAATAATCAACACCTACGATTAACTTGTCAACTGTTGCGTAATGTATGATGAAGAGTCGCTGATAACAATTACAGTATGTTGATCCGAGTACATATAGGGCAAAATCAGACTAATTTAATTTGGAGGGAGGGGGAGGAATTAGTGAAGACTCAGGTTAAGTGAACAAGTAATGCAATGCGATGTAAAAACTATATGCATATATGCTCAGCAAACAAGCTGTACTTATGGAGTCAGGACAAACACTACTATCATTCGGACCAAACCTCAAGCAGTGGAGTATGGCACGGTTCCGTAACCTGCCCGGATGAAAAATAGATGCTTAGATGGAAGAGTCGCAGACTAGAAGAAGAAATGAAACTAATTAGGATTTGTTTTCATCAATACCTTGTTTGACAGTAGAGAATAAAGTGTTTAGGTACACTGACCACTTCACAATATCTGACAAATTGCTTCAATCTCCGTGAATCAGTTGGCTGACGAAATCTTAGAAGAGATAGAAAAAGATCCATTCAACCCTAAACAACCACGACATAGCCAAGTATCTATCAAGGTCTTAAAGTGAAGCACATCAAAGAGCACTTTGCTTTACGATATTACTGTGAAATATAACAATCTTAATATAAGAATAAAATCTGTGCAATGTGGTAGAATGTAATTCCATTTTAATTGACTTATCAGAGTGGAACAGTATTGTTTACTGGAATACGTCTCGGACATCGTTTATTGTCCATAGTCATAGCAAGATAACTACACAACTTTGAGACATCCTTTATATAATCCTAATTTCCTCGCCTCCTTTGTGATATGGGTAGTAAGATTTTCCATATATCCGGAACAGGTGCTGAGTTATTCCTGTTCCATGTATTAGGGTTGATTCGATAAACAAAGATTCACTTATTAGTCTCTCCCTTCACCATGAGCTTACACTACGATGATATCATGCTAGAGTACAGATATACGTAACCTCCATAATCTTTAGGTATCAGAATAAAATATACAAACGAACAAAACGAGTTGACATGGGATCACTAATATCCTCTATTGTGGCTGAGATATCTATGAATACATGGGAACGGGTGGCTGTAGGGACATTTAGTTTAGGTCTCGATATGTAAACGACACATTTACAGTGTTAAAATCGAAGCAAACATATAAATTAAGTAGTCCCCCAATTCCGATTCAACAATGGATAAGAAAGGGGAATTAGCGTTTTTAGATTGCAGAATAAAACGAAGACAAGATGGATTTTCGGTTACTAGTGTCTACAGAAAGCCTTCACATTCAAATCGTCATACCCTGTCAGTTAAAGTTGGCTTGGTAAAATGTCTAAGTGAGAGGAACAGAAAAATTACCAGTAGAACATAAGATCTAAGACAAGAAACCAGATATATTAGGCACCTTACTCACCAACAGTTATCCTTCCCAATTAACTTATTTTCCTTAGAAGTATTAAGAAAAATATAAATAATGGTAGTA